GAAGATGTTTAAACTTGCTCAAAAGTTTAAACAGGAGTGAAGTAAACTTAAATGCAGGAAGTCCTAAGAAGAAAAATTGTAAAAATCCTCTGCGCGCTGTGTATTGATTAAACCATACAACGTGATCCTTAGCTATAGAATATATCAGTGATGAGTTGAATTCCCTGTTTACTAATCAGAACCACCTATCTATCAACTGCTTTATTAATGTTGATATTTATTTGGAAAACTGGAATAAAATCCATTTTCTTCAGATAGTGAAGAACAGTAATTCTTACCCCGAATAAAATTTTAGAGTATTCTCCCTTTAGAGAACTTATCGGAAAACTAGTTTTCCTGGAATGACAGAACGGAACATGCAACAGTTTCCGGGTAGAACAAGAAAATGTCAATATTCTAGAAGATGAGTGATTAGAGCTGAAAATTGTGAAAGCTCAATTTGAAAAGTAAATAGTTTAAACAAACAATGTTATTTTTACGAGGATTAAGTAAATTAATGATGATTTAGACTCAGTCACTTCAATTTAAATTAAAAATAAAATTTACTGGAAACCAAAAGTACGACTTTTTGACCTTACAGCTATTCCAGAGAATTAAAAAAACAATATTGTCTGGTTGTCTATTAAACATTCAAAACTGTTTTGTTTCTTCTAGCTTAATAGTGAGTGTAAACATGAAACATTTCCGTTCTATTACCGTTGTGAATCGAATATGCCACCCTTTAAAGAAAGGGTTACTTGAATCACGTCTACAGTCCCTTTTACAAATTGAGAATTTTATCTGTTTAAAGGGAGTGTCTGGTCAGACATGGTAGTTGACCTGAGAATGCAGTATTGTAGAGAATTTTATCTGATTAAAGGGAGTGTCTGGCCAGACATGGTAGTTGACCTGAGAATGCAGTATTGTAGAGAATTTTATCTGATTAAAGGGAGTGTCTGGCCAGACATGGTAATTGATCTGAGAATGCAGTATTGTAGAGAAGTATTTTTAGGATTCATTTGAGACCTATGAACGGTGAATATTAGTTCAGCAAGAGCGCAAATTCAATATTTAAAATTCTCATAGATTGTTAATTTTGAGAATCGGGTTTTAAAAATTATTGAACGACGAAAAATGTATCTAACAAAACTTGTACAGTAGATAATTAGATGTTTAGGAACACCTTATCATTAAAATTTGTCAACAAATCAATGTTAAAATTAATTATTTCATCCATCATTGTACTGAATTTCCTAGTCTTTTTGAATTTGTTCGCAGAGTTTTCAAATTCTTGAAATGTCGTCTTTTCAGTAAAAATTCCAGGAAATTAATGATTCATGATCCATCTCTTGGTTAAACTATAAGGATATAATACCCGTACCTAGATCAACTATTCTTGCTAAGTTCAACTATTTGCACCTTGTTCAACTAGCAGTGGTTAGTTCAACTATTCGTACCTATTTCAACTATCCAAACCAAGTTCAACTATTCGTACCTAGTTAAACTATCTGTACCTAGTTTAACTATCCATATCTAGTTCAACTATCCATGCCTAGTTCAGCTATTCATACTTAGTTAAACTATCCCTGCCTAGTTCAACTATTTTTGCTTAGGTCAACTATTTGTACCTAGTTCAACTATCTGTACCTATTTCAACTATCCATGCCTAGTTCAAATATTCAACTATTCGTACCTAGTTCAAATATTCAACTATTCCTACCTAGTTCAACCATCCGTACCTAATTCAACCATCCGTACCTAGTTCTATTATTCGTACCTAGTTTAAGTATCCGTGCCTAGTTCAACTATTCTTGGTTAGTTTAACTATTTTTACCTTATTCAACTAGCAGTGGCTAGTTCAACTATTCGTACTTAGTTCAATTATCCGTAATTAGTTCAACTATCCGTAATTAGTTCAACTATCTGTACCTAGTTCAACTATCCGTGCCTAGTTTATTTATCCGTACCTAGTTCAACTTTTCATGTCTAGTTCAACTATTCGTTCCTAGTTCAACTATTCGTGCCTAGTTCAACTACGTCTTCCTATTTATTTATTACGATCTCTATATTTAGAATACCACTGATCAATGAAATAATATTTTATCCAACAATACACTGTTCTCACAATAGATAAGAAGGTCGCATTGTCATGCCTCTCACATATGATATTCCATTTTATTTAGGAATTAGAGATATTTTCTCTTAAAAACTACAGTGAGAACCAGAAAACTGTGGAATAGGAAGACGACAGTAAAGCAAATCTTAATTGACCTGATGTTGTTACACTGCAACTAGTTTTACAAGTTCCTTATAACATAAATTATAAAGTGAAATGAGTCTATCTATACACTGAAAAATTGTTTTACAAGTACCTTATAACATAAATTATAAAGTGAAATGAGTCTCTCTATACACTGCACAACACAATTGCCTGAGCTCATTGGACTATTAAAAGTAATTTTTCGATTATAAAAGTCGTCTTCCTATATTCCAGAGTTTTCTAGTGCTCACTGCATCTAAGAAATCCGTTTGAAGGCACGACATACAAATATCATGTGTCAAGCTATTTGTTTTACAATAGTTTGCTAGCTTGTAAAAGCATGGAGATTGTTATACCCAAAATAAGCGTTATTGAAAAGCTATTTAATTATATCTTCCAAAAATAAAACTAAACATGCTAGATCAAAATTTCAAAGTTTCTTAAAAGATTAGCGCGAAGATCCCCTATTCAGATTTATTGCAACACTATAAAATGTACAATTTTTGCACCGACCACCATTGTTGGCATAATCTCTATTTTTTTACTATTTAATTGAAGCAGACTGAAGCATTGTTGTGCTGCGAACAGAAAGCGAAGTATAATTTTAAAACTTTAAATTTGTATGAACGCTTTTTTATGGAATTATAATTATGAAGCAGATAGCTGTCGTTTTTAACAAATTCATGTAAAAGAAAGATATGACCAAAAATCACCGATGACATCCATTTTTTTGCTGTCGGGTTAAAGTGGTTTAAATTTTATGTTTATCTTTCAAATTCTAAAAATTTATATATGGAAATCATTATCCATGCCAAATTAAATAACTGAAATAATTTTGGATTCTGAAAATTCACTTCTTAGTCTTTGTTGCAAATATCCGCAAGTCCGAGTTTTTAGAAACCACAATTGTAAATGATAAATTTTCAGATAGAAAACAATGCTCAGACAAACGTTACAATTTGGTACCATTGTGAATTGTGCATTCGGGTCCCTCCCTTAAACTTTTGGTAAATGTGAATATTTTCTTTTGTAAACAAACTTTTTCTTTAACTTCTGGTTTTTGAACAATAGAATTAAACTGAGATTAATTATTCTCGAAGTTTGAAGAAATTCTGAAACAATATTTCACTAAAATGTCAACTAAATAATTGAAGTTTGTTGAATGGTTTAGACCGAGAAATATTTACCCAGGAACCTACAATGTTTAAAAAAATTATAAGTACTCAACGTATCACCAGTCAGATGACCCTTTTTCTTTTATTTTTTTTGTTGTTGTTGGTATATGCATTTAAATGAAAAAGTAATAAATAAAAACTCCGCAAATTCAAATATTGTTAAATTATAGAAAAAAACGCGATTTGATTTAATTAAAGAAACAAACTCATCCCAACCGGTTAGGTCAGGGTAAATGAAAGACACACAAAGTGTAATTACACTATAGTACACTTTTTGCGGACTTTAGTCTTTGAGTGTCTCTGTTCTGATTATTTCTTGGTTCCTCTGAGGTTTATTGTTCCTGCTCTGGATATTTCTTGGTTGCTTTGATGTTGAGTTTTCCTGTTCTAAATATTTCTTGGTTGCTATGATGTTGAGTTTTCCTGTTCTAAATATTTCTTGGTTGCTATGAGGTTCAGTGTTCCTTGTTCTGGTCATTTCTTGGTTGCTTTGATGTTGTGTTTTCCTGTTCTGGATATTTCTTGGTTGCTTTGAGGTTAAGTGTTTCTGTCTTGAGTATTTCTTGTTTAATCTGAGGTTGAATGTTCCTGTTCTGGATATTTCTTGGTGCTATGAGGTTGAGTGTTCCTGTTCTAGATACTTATTGGTTGCTATGACGTAGAATGTTCCTGTTTTGTATATTTCTTGGTTGCTATGAGGTTGAGTGTTCTTGTTTTGAATATTTCTTGGTTGTGTGCTCCTGTTCTAGATACTTCTTGGTTGCTCTGAGGTTGAGTGTTCCTTTTCTGGATATTTCATGGTTTTTATGAGGTTTAGTGTTCCTGTTCTGGATATTTCTTAGTTGCTCTGATGTTGAGTGTTAGCTACGAGGTTGAGTGTTCCTGTTTTAAATATATCTTGTTAGCTACGAGGTTGAGTGTTCCTGTTTTAAATATATCTTGTTAGCTACGAGGTTGAGTGTTCCTGTTTTAAATTTATCTTGTTAGCTACGAGGTTGAGTGTTCCTGTTTTAAATATATCTTGTTAGCTACGAGGTTGAGTGTTCCTGTTTTAAATATATCTTGTTAGCTACGAGGTTGAGTGTTCCTGTTTTGAATATTTCTACGTTTCTACGCATGAGGTTGAGTATACCTGTTTTGAATATTTCTTTGTTACTCTGAGGTTGAGGGTTCCTCGTTTTGAATATTTCTTTGTTACTCTGAGGTTGAGGGTTCCTGTTTTGAATATTTCTTGGTTACTCTGAGGTTGAATGGAACTGAGAGGATGATTTCAAGGATTAATGAACAAATTGAGAAATGCAAAACAAGATTTGGATTTATTTTACACATCCAGAGTTGAGAATCTATAAGTTATAAAGAGGAAGTTGAACTAGCTCCGACTATTTCAACCGCTAGTTAAACAGATTCTCGCTTTTCATAAATGTCAAATTGGGCTTTGGGGGAAATGATTACACTCTCTCTCACATATATCCAGAGAGCTAGGAAAGTTATACATTCTTTTTGTGCACCAGGTCTAGTCCTTTGGTTTTACATTTAAACTCAATTATATCTTTTTGTGTGTTTCGATCATCTAGTATTATTCTGTCCTAGACATGTACATCATACATGTCTAGCTTGTTTCTAACTTTACTTACAGGAATCAGGACAGGAATCAGGATAGGAATCAGGACAGGAATCAGGACAGGCATCAGGACAGGAATCAGGACAGGAATCAGGATAGGAATCAGAACAGGAATCAGGACAAAAATCAGGACGGGAATCAGGACAGGAATCAGGACAAGAATCAGGACAGGAATCAGGACAGGAATCAGGACAAGAATCAGGATAGGAATCAGGACATGAATCAGGACAGGAATCAGGACAGGAATCAGGACAAGAATCAGGACAGGAATAAGGACAGGAATCAGGACAGGAAATAGGACAGGAATCAGGACAGGAATCAGGATAGGAATCAGGACAGGTTTCAGGACAGGAATCAGGATAGGAATCAGGACAGGAATCAGGACAGGCATCAGGACAGGAATCAGGACAGGAATCAGGATAGGAATCAGAACAGGAATCAGGACAAGAATCAGGACAGGAATCAGGACAGGAATCAGGACAATAATCAGGACAGGAATCAGGACAAGAGTCAGGATTGGAATCAGGACAGGAATCAGGGCAGAAATTAGGACAGGAATCAGGACAGGAATCAGGACAGGAATCAGGACAGGAATCAGGACAGTAATCAGGACAGGAATCAGGACAGGAATCAGGACAGGAATCAGGATAGGAATCAGGACAGGAATCAGGAGAGGAATCAGGAGAGGAATCAGGACAAGAATCAGGACAGGAATCAGGACAGGAATTAGGAAAGGAATCAGGACAAGAATCAGGATAGGAGTCAGGACAGGAATCAGGACAGGAATCAGGACAGGAATCAGGACAGGAATTAGTACAGGAATCAGGACAAGAATCAGGACAGGAATCACGACAGAAATCAGGACAGGAATCAGGACAGAAATCAGGACAGGAATCAGGACAGGAATCAGGACAGGAATCAAGACAGAAATCAGGACAGGAATCAGGACAGGAATCAGGACAGGAATCAAGACAGGAATCTGGACAGGAATCAAGACAGGAATCAAGACAGGAATCAGGACAGGAATCAGGACAGAAATCAGGACAGGGCCCAGGACTGGAATCAGGACAGGAACCAGGATAGGAATCAGGACAGGAATCAGAACTGGCATCAGGACAGGAATCAGGATAGGAATAAGGACAGGAATCAGGACAGGAATCAGGACAGGAATCAGGACAGGAATCAGGACAGCAATCAGGAAAGGGACCAGGACTGGAATCAGGACAGGAACCATGATAGGAATCAGGACAGGGACCAGGACTGGAATCAGGACAGAAACCAGGATAGGAATAAGGACAGGAATCAGGAAAGGAATCAGGACAGGGACCAGGACAGGCAGCAAGACATAAAGCAGGACAGGAATTAGGATAAGGGCAATTAAAGTTTACTTTGGTATTCAATGATGCAAAGAATAAATAGATTGGAAGTAAAGAATGTAGGACACGGAAAGGAAATTGATTCCGCTCTTTTAGCTTTTCTCATCTTGGTTTGTATTATACACCAAGTATCTATATTTCTATTGTATACATATTCATATTGGTTTGTATTATGAACCAAGTATCTATATTTCTATTATATCTTGGTTTGTATTATACACCAAGTATCTATATTTATATTACTAGCCTTAGAGGGCGCTTTGCGCCCATCTTCCAAATTAATTGTGAACATGTTCTCTTTGTGTACATCGTAAAACAAAACAAAAATAATTCGCGGATTTTCACAAAAAAATTCGTGGATTTTCAAAATTTTAAAAAATTTAATGACGATCAAATTTTGATTGAGACAAATATTTAAAATTTCAATCATTCATAAACCTTCCCTGGGGTCCCTAGATGTCTCACAAAAAATATGGGCCCGATCGGTTCAGCCGTTTTGACGTTTATTGGATACAAACAGACAAACAAACAGAGAAACAGACAGACAGACAAGCCAAATTTATATAAAGATATACATATTAATCATGGTTTGTATTATACACCAAGTATCTATATTTCTATTATATATCTATTCATCTTGGTTTGTATTATACACCAAGTATCTATATTTCTATTATATATATATTCATCTTGGTTTGTATTATACACCAAGTATCTATATTTCTATTATATATCTATTCATCTTGGTTTGTATTATACACCAAGTATCTATATTTCTATTATATATCTATGGTTTGTATTATACACCAAGTATCTATATTTCTATTATATATCTATTCATCTTGGTTTGTATTATACACCAAGTATCTATATTTCTATTATATACATATTAATCTTGGTTTGTATTATACACCAATGTTGACTTTAAAAGTCAATATGATAAAATCTAAATGGATATTTCTAACATTTATTTAATAAAAACGAAAGTTTTGAAATAGTTTCCCAAGTGGGGTTAAAATTGGTTGGTTTAGAAATTAACAAAGGAATAAATGATGAATATTTTGGGGGACTTCATGGGAGTGATGTAGAGCTTCATGTTGGTGGAGTAGATCTACAGGAACTGAAACACCAGGGCTTATCCAACCTAGTAGGCAGAGATCGCGGTTTTATCATGGTCCTTTTGAGCGATTATGTTGTCTCTGGAAAGCATGATAAACTGAAACCCTTCGGGTAAGCACGTCTGCTGCTAGCTGAGTATCTGCGCCATCATCATAAAGGAGTCAAGAGGCTCCCTGTGTCGGAGCTGTTACCAGCTCAACTATCTAAACTTGACTGACTGGGATGTGAGGGCTGAGGCGGGAGCTGGGATGAGCGGGGTTTGACATGTGGCCACTACATGGAGGAAATGGATAAACACGTCTTGTGAAAAGGCTATGGCATTTGAGTCGGTAAAATCGTCTTGCTTATATTTCGAATTTATGTTAACAACCAAGTATCTATATTTCTATTATATTTTTCTTCCTTTTATCGGTTTACACATTAGAGATTCAGAACATTTTTGTTCTTATCAATAGCTCTTCAATAAGAGGAGTACTGATGGAAAAAAAACAATTAAGATTACAATCTTTTGTACAATATAATTTAAATTGAAGCGGTCTGCTTTTGCTTTTTTGTTCGATCTTAACTCATGAACCTTTTGACCGGTTTGCCTCAAATTGTGAAAGGGGAATTCAGTCTAACAACAATATTGTTCTGAGCTTAGTTTTAAAATTCTAAATCAATTTGGTTGATTTTTATAAAGAGAAAGCTTAGGGTTTTAAACTTTTTAGGCAAATCTAAGTTCCCAAGCAAAGTTTTTATGTATATAGTAGTAATATCTGTTTGTTAGTATGACCGAAAATAACTCATGAACTCCTTGACAGATCTGCCCCATATTTCAATGGGGAACTCAGTCGAACCAAGGGAATGTTCTTAGCTTGGTTTAAAAGTTTCAAAATTGTACTACGATGTTCCATGGGGCAAAAACTAAAGATGACTGACAACAAAAAGCAGCTGATTCTGTGAAGAGTTTACCAAATAATTTGCAATTTCTTGCCCTAATTTATAGCACATTATATCCTCTAACTGTATATTGTATAATGGTAATATATATATATATATTCTGAAAATACCAATTATTTAGCCTTGTATCAGACAATTGTTTCCATCGTCTTCTAGAATACCTATTTTATATATAATCCATCTTTATCCATATAATCTATATATATCCTTATAATATATATTTTTTATTCCTACTTGAAAAAATGCTTTTACTCTCTTTTATAAATATCCTCTACTTCCTTCAAATATCCTCTACTCTCTTTCAATATTATTCTACTCCCTTCAACTATCATTTACTTCCTTCAAATATCCTTTACTCCCTTCAACTATCCTTTACTTCCTTCAAATATCCTTTACTCCTTTCAAATATTATTCTACTCCCTTCAACTATCCTTTACTTCCTTCAAATATCCTTTACTCCCTTCAACTATCCTTTACTTCCTTCAAATATTCTTTACTCCTTTCAAATATTATTCTACTCCCTTCAACTATCCTTTACTTCCTTCAAATATCCTTTACTCCCTTCAGCTATCCTTTACTTCCTTCAAATATCCTGTACTCCTTTTTAATATTATTCTACTCCCTTCAACTATCCTTTACTTCCTTCAACTATCAGTTAGTTCCTTCAACTATCCTTTACTCCCTTTAAATATCCTTTACTCCCTTTAAATATCCTTTACTCCATTTAAATATCCTCTACTTCCTTCAAATATCCTTTACTTCCTTCAACTATCGTTTACTCCCTTCAAATATTATTCTACTCCCTTCAAATATCCTTTACTTCCTTCAATTCAATTATCCTTTACTCCCTCCAAATTTCCTTTTCTCCCTTCAAATATCCTTTTCTCCCTTCAAATATTATTCTACTCCCTTCAAATATCCTTTAATCCCTTCAAATATTATTCTACGGCCTCCAAATTTCCTTTTCTCCCTTCAAATATCCTTTTCTCACTTCAAATATTATTCTACTCCCTTCAAATATCCTTTACTCCCTTCAAATATTTTTCTACAGCCTCCAAATTTCCTTTTCTCCCTTCAAATATCCTTTACTCCCTTAAAATATCCTGTACCCCCATTCAAATATTCTTCTCTCCATTTAAATATCCTACTCCCTTAAAATATATCCTTTTCTATCTTCAAATACCCTCCACCCCCTTCATAAAACTCTTTTTTTCTACTTTCAAATATCCTTTACTCCCCTCAAACATATCCTGTATTCCCTTCGAATATCCTTTACTCACATACTTCTTTTTCTACCTTCACATATCCTTTACTCCCTTCGAATATCCTTAAATCCCTTCAAATATCCTTTACTTCCTTCAAATATCCTTTACTCCCTTCAAATATCCTTTAGTTTCTTCAAATATCCTTTACTCTCTTCAAATAGTCTTTACTCCCGTCAAATATCCTTTACTCCCTTCAAATATCCTTTACTCCCTTCAAATATCATTTACTCCCTTCAAATATCCTTTACTCCCTTCAAATATCCTTTACCCCCTTCAAATATCCTTTACTCCCTTCAAATATTCTTTACTCCCTTCAAATAACATTTACTTTCTGCAAATAACCTTTACTCCCTTCATAATATCTTTTTCTACCTTCAAATATCCTTTACTCCCTTCAAATATCCCTTACTTCCTTCAAATAACCTTTATTTCCTTCAAATATCCTTTACTCTAACCATTTACCCAATTTTAGAAAGAAAGAACAACTCTCAAGGGGAGAGATGTTCCCCAATTAGCATAGTAAGGAAAGGTTAGAGAGTAACAGCAAAGGGATTATGAATATTAGGAATACTGAATGTAAAGATGGATTGTGACCATCAAAGATTTTAGAAAGAAAAAAGGGATAATAAACAACAAAAATATCAAAAGCAAAAATGAGATTATGTATGTAATAAATATCATAGCAAATCCCATATTTATAAACCTGAACAGACCTAGACAAATTACGTTGTAAATTGTAACCTAACTGCGCTTGTAAATAATTACTTAAAACTTATATTGCGATTAATCTAACTACGATTGTAGATAATGACGTATACCTTGTAATTACATTCATTAACTTAACCTGAATCATAGAATTCAAAATATAATTCAGTTGGAATAATATTCCGCTTTGATTACAGTGTTAGAGTAATTGTTCCTTGTTTAGCGAACTAAAGGCCTGAATCCAGAATCATTTTCTTGAAAGATAGATATAGATTGGGAATTACAGTGAATGGTATCTCGTAAGACCTGAGAATACAGACTGAGTCGTACCCGGATTGATATTGACTTTGGTATTTGTGATGAACCTTGAGTTCTAGATTGAGTTGTATCTTGTAAACAGATACCTGAGAATACAGACTGAGTTGTATCCGGATTGATATTGACTTTGGGCTTTGTAATGAACCTTGAGTTCTAGATTGAGGTGTATCTTGTAAACAAATACCTGAGAATTCAAACTGAGTTGTATCCGGATCGATATTGACTATGGTATTATTGAGGAACCTTGAATTCTAGATTGAGTTGTATCTTGTAAACAGATACCTGAGAATACAGACTGAGTTGTATCCGGATCGATATTGACTATGGTATTATTGAGGAACCTTGAATTCTAGATTGAGTGATACCTGAGAATACAGACTGAGTTGTATCCGGATTGATATTGACTATGGTATTATTGAGGAACCTTGAATTCTAGATTGAGTTGTATCTTGTAAGTCAGATACTTGAGAATACAGTAAGATTGATTAATACTGATCAAGGTATTATTGGAGAACCTGGAGTTCGAGATTAAGGTGTACCTGGATTGGTATTGATCTAAAATTATTTATTGAAGCAGGGTATTTACTACATGTCCATTGTATATCAATGATTTTATAGATAAAAAGGAGGGATTATAAACATCAACAATTTTAGAAAGCAAAAAAGTGATTTAAATTATCAATGTTTTTAGAAACTAAAAAAATGATTATAAAAATCAAAGATATTAAAAAGAAAAAAGGGATTTTGAAAATCAAAGATATTGAAATGTAAAAAATTGAACATAAATGAAACTAGAAAGTGTTAAATGGATTATAAATACAACAATAATTTTTAAGTAAACAGATAGTATGAATATTAATAATATTAGAAAGTGATAAAAGGATTTTAAACTTTTATGATACTAGAGAGTAGAAAGGGATTATGAAAATAAACTTTTTTTGTCAAAAAAACCTGTTTCCTGGGTATTAAAACAAGCCAAAGAATTAAGTACAATGTTAATGTTATGTTGTAAACTCCTTGTTCTACTTTTATCTTTATGAAATAAAATAAATTAACTAATTAATGAACCTTGTCTGGATCCAACTCTAACTTTCCACTAATTCTTTAATGAAACTTGCCAAACCTTCTACCCGGACCATCCAAACTGTTTGCATATGAGTACAATCAGAAGCACTATACTGAGATGAATACAATGTTTTGTCAAACATATTTTCCATCTTATTCAATAAATAATATACCTCTCTGCACATACAACTAAATAGAATAGGATAAACATATTACATAATACTAGACTTTTAGGACGCTTCGTGCCACCTTTATAGTAGAACAATTTAACTATTACTTTTCAAGTTGCCATGTTTTTATCCTTATCCTCACCTTTAATATTTCAAACTTAAACTATCTGATCTAACATATCAGAATCCAAATAGATTATCAAGTACAATATGTGGAAACAGAGAAATAGACCAATTATACACGACGTCACAAGTGTCAAATATAACAAGGAAAACGAAATTTCCTCACATTAGTTGACAGGTTTTCCAAGATTAAATAAAAAAGTGTAAAAACAGAAACTAAAGAACACATAAAATATCACTTATGTTACTGTAAATAGGCATTTTTTTCTAAAAAATAACACTATTAAAAATGATTTTGTCGGACACAAAAACTAAGTTGCTCACTTATGACGTAAGAATACAGCTGTACTGAGAGTGTACAAACTCACGTTGCCATGCATTGTACTAGAATACAGCTGTACTGAGAGTGTACAAACTCACGTTGCCATGCATTGTACTAGAATACAGCTGTACTGAGAGTGTACAAACTCACGTTGCCATGCATTGTACTAGAATACAGCTGTACTGAGAGTGTACAAACTCACGTTGCCATGGATTGTACTATAATACAGCTGTACTGAAAGTGTACAAACTCACGTTGCCATGCATTGTACTATACTCTATTTGCCAGAATCCATAATTTGAGTTTGATTTAGAAAATTAGAGTTTACGGCAAAAACTCGGTTATAAGGTTGATCTCATTCAAGCGGTTTTCTTTATGTAGAATAACGATAAGGCGTGGAAAGATCCCCCCAAATGGATCCCTCCTGCCACAATATCGTTCAGAAACCAAGGTTTTTTTTGATCGTTTATTCTGTCGAAATTTACGCAGGAAGTTTAAAAAAATACTTATTTTAAAAGAATGTAAATTTCCCTCTAGTCATTTATACATAACTGCTTTCAGAGAAAATAAAATGGGACTGCGCCGTGAAAGGTTTCAATTTAAGTAAAATTGGCAATGATTGGCGGCAAAATTATAAAATTGGCAATGATTGGCGGCAAAATTATAAAATTGGAAGAAACTCATTCATTCTGAACATCTTCTTTATCGGAGAATAAAGTTTTGGAAAAGGAAGCTTTGTAAATTCAGATTCATTCATAACTTACTGAAAAGGACAAGGACTTAGGTCTTTGGACCCAAGCTAAGGTTAGAATGCAAGGATAGTTATTTCAGAGGTGTACGCATCTTTTGTACTGCAGTGTACTGTCTCCGGGCGGTAATGTAAACAGAAGACGAATGTCACAGCCTGACATGGGATTCATCTTTCACATAAAAAACAATGAAATATTCTGGTCATAGGAAACTATTATGTGAATTGTCAAAATTATCAAAATTCAATGCTTTTAACCTCCTCGGATAGTAAACAAACACCAATTCATCTATTCTTGTTTACAAATTCCGTCCATACGCAGAGTACTGCAATTAACTTTCCTTGCATTATAACCTTGTTTGGACCGAACTCTATCTCTAGTTTTTAGGGAAGACTCAGCATTGATTTATTTGGTGTACTGTCCCGAACTGTCCCGAACTATCCCGTACTGTCCCGTATTGCCTTACATAGTCAGTATGTGTACTGCATGTACAGCTTGCTCCAGCTGCTTAAAATTCGGCCCGATAGTTGAAAGGAACTGGAGTTTAAAGTAAAGCAACTTCAGTTTTACGAAATAGCGTCGAAAGTAAGGATAGAAGAAAGAGACAAAGAAGGGTAAAAAAGACGAGAATAAGGGGTTAACAGAAGACCGAAGGTGATTGCTGAGATAAAAAGTAGGACGGTAGGAGGGAATAGAAGGAAGAAAAGGAGAGGGGTAGAAAGTAGAGAAGAAATGATAGAAAGAAGAAAAGGAGAGAAGATAGAATAGAATGAGCGTAGAAAGAAGAGAATGAGAGTAGAAAGAAGAAAAGGAGAGTGGAAAGAAGAGAAGGAGGGATGGAAAGAAGAGAAGGAGGGATGGAAAGAAGAGAAGGAGGGATGGAAAGAAGAGAAGGATGGATGGAAAGAAGAGAAGGAGAGTGGAAAAAAAGAAGGAGGGATGGAAAGAAGAGATGGAGAGTATGGAAAAGAGAGAATGAGAGTAGAAATAAGAAAAGGAGAGTGGAAAGAAGAGAACGAGAGTAGAAAGAAGAGAAGGAGGGATGGAAAGAAGAGAAGGAGAGTAGAAATTAGAGAAGGAGAGTGGAAAGAAGAGAAGGAGAGTGGAAAAAAAGAAGGAGGGATGGAAAGAAGAGAAGGAGGGTATATAAAGAATAGAAGGAGAGTAAAAATAAGAGAAGGAGGGATGGAAATAAGAGAAGAGTCATGGAAAGAAGAGAAGAGAAGGAGGGGTAGAAAGAAAAGAAGAAAATCGTAGAAAGATGAGAAGGATGGAAATAGATCAGAGAAGGATTAAGTAAAGAGGAGAGGAAGAGAAGGAGAATAATAAAGCATTAAATAGAGAAAGAGAATGGTTTTATAATAGAAGAACTAGAAGTTTGAATCTGTGTGAAAATGGTTGAACTCTGTTGGAGAAAAGAAAAGATTGAGGACAAGATTAAAATAAGATTAGAGAATATGTTTCATCANGGGGATGCCCTCAAACAGAGGGGGAGAGAAAGATTATAGATTAGACACAACTCAACCAAACCTTGCAAATTCAAACTCTTGATCTATTTTCTCTAAAGGATTTGAGTCTTTTTGCCACGAACTCGAATTTTCTAATTCTTATGGCTTTGAACCCTGATGGTGGAAACCTTTGATATTTCAAACTTAGATTGATTGATCTAACAGAATGCATAGTTTGAAATCTAAGGTCTATGACATTTGGTCATAGACGTACAACGGGGGGAAAAGTCAACATTTAAAACTAGAAGAGATAAAATCACTTCAAGGCATTTAACTACATCTAGGCTTATCCGGGGAAACTAGTTTAAAATTACAGGGGAGGAAAGTTCCAACCTGTGATTTGGCCCTGAACTGACATTGAGTGTCAAATCTGGGCCAAATGTGCAAAGTTATCATTTTCAATTGTTTAGTACTAAATTTCTACAAATAAATAGATTTCAATTATTTATTGATTATTGATTATATTTTAGAACAAGTCACATTTTTGAAGCAAATGCAAAGTTTGGCGCAAATTACGCTTTGGAACATTTCACGTTTTTAAGACATTTAACAGATTTTAATGATATGTTCAAGCATTTACTCAATTTAGTTTAAAAAAAGTTTTCCGTGTACAGTAAAATTTATATAACTAAGCTTTTAGGACGCTTCGCGCCCATCTTCTATTTCAACTTTTAACTGTGGCTTTATCTGCGAGTATCTTCTCTTTGTACAGTATAAAACAAAAACAAAAAAAGTTTGCGGATTTCATAATATTCTTTTGCGAATTTTCAAAATTTTAAACAAATAAAAAACTTTTAAACACAAATTTTTTAAATTTTGATCATTCATAAACTTTCCCTGGGGTCACGTGAGGTCCCACTCAAAATTTGGAACCGATCGGTTCAGCCGTTTTGACGTTTATTGGATACAAACAAACAGAATTCATAGTAATCTCAGGTCTACAATATTAGGCCTTGAAATTTGTGTTGCTCCCTGTATTTTCTCACTATTTGACTGATATGTACAAGTTTATTCATGGTTACAAGAACATAGAACATATAGTTTAAAATATTAAAGGTTTACACCATCAGGAGTCATATTTGTAGGGATTAGACAGTTTGAGATTGTGGCTAAGACAAGGAAATCACAACAAATACTAAATATATGAGTAAAAACAATGATTGTCCCTATCCCTCCAAATTAAAACAAAGATTGTCCCTATCTCTCCAAATTAAAACAAAGATTGTCCCTATCCCTCCAAGTTAAAACAAAGATTGTCCCTATCCCTCCAAATTAAAACAAAGATTGTCCCTATCCCTCCAAATTAAAACAAAGATTGTCCCTATCCCTCCAAATTAAAACAAAGATTGTCCCTATCCCTCCAGATTAAAACGATAAAATGATTATTTGTTCCATACAAGAAATGCTTCCTCTGCGTTTATTTTATGTAGAAACACAAAATCCAGATAATTTATTTCCAAAATAACATCTGAGCAGACAAACCTTTTAGGGACAAAGCCATTGTAGGATGATATATTTACATACATATATAAATATATACATATACATATACATCATATACATATAAATATATATATGCATAAACTTATTCATATACATATACATACACACATATACATACATATATATATACATATACACATAGACATACATATATACACATACAAATACATACACATACATATCCATACACATACATATACATACACTAACATATACATATATACATATACATATAAATATAAAATATAAATATACATATGCAAATACATGTATCTACATACATACATTTTTAATATTTTAGACAAATGTGTTTCCAATAAGCGATTTTTGCTTATTATTTGTTTAATTTTCAAGTCGGGTCAACCTTTCTGGTCCCAGTTTGTACTGTATCACCTGGGTAAAAGAAGCAGGCACTCAATAGGACTAGCTGGTGCAACAAGGTTGACGCGGTCAGACTTTAGGTTGAATTTACTTTTCATGATGGGTGAGAGGTGCATGTGTATGACATTACGACCGCATATAGCTTCTATTACAAGAAAATCAAATTTATCCTGTTAAATATTAGAAATTTAAAGCATATTTTTTCTTCTCAATAGTTTGAATAAAATAGCATAATAGAAAAATTTAACAATTTTTTAAAAATAAAATTTTAATCTTACTTTTAAGTTATTTTATTCTGCAAATGTCATGACTTTGTTGAACATTAAATGAATTTGTTCATTACAAAAATAAAAGTCTCGAATGGATAACATGAAATAATGAAAATGTTGAAACTCTTACAATAAAAGGGGATACGAAGACTACGAAGCTCCTTGAAGTGGTTTCAGACGGAATAAGCTTTCTTACAGGATATATTTGGTCTTCCTGTAAATGTTTCTCTTTACACAACATTGGTTTAAACCTTTCTACATTAAAGCATATTTATATAGACAGGTCAGGAAAGTAAGAAGATGAAGAAAAAAAAATCTAGCTGTAATATCTACATATAAACATTTGTGGAATTAAATGTAAAACAAAAAGGATGGAAGAAAAAGGAAATACTGCTAGATATGTCACTCAATATTTGTTGGTCAATAGTGACAAGTAATATACAAATTACTTTTTACATACTCAGAATACTTTTTCTCAGCGAGATCGACAAATAAAAACAGAGAGATAGAAACAGAGAGATAGAAACAGAGAGATAGAAACAGAAAGATAGAAACAGAGATATAGAAACAGAGAGATAGAAACAGAGAAATAGAAACAGAGAGATAGAAACAGAGAGACAGAAACAGAGAGATAGAAACATAGAGATAGAAACAGAGAGATAGAAACAGAGAGATAGAAACAGAGAGATAGAAACAGAGAGATAGAAACAGAGAGGTAGAAACAGAGAGATAGAAACAGAGAGATAGAAACAGAGAGAAATAGAAACAGAGAGATAGAAACAGAAATAGAAAAAAATAAAGATACAGGATGGTTTAAACAAAAAGTGTACTGCAGTTTCTGGGAAGAGTTTGTTTACATTCGTTCCAGAAACTGCAGTACACTTTATTTTGCTTCCAAAGATATAAGGGTTGCTGAGAAACATATATATATGTAGAGAAACATTGATCCAGATTGTGCACGCCTTAACACAAAAATATATTAGTATTTTCCCAATTACTTCTTTCCAACTGAAGTTAGAAAGTAGCTTGTTGTAGTTCTAAGAAGTATATCTAGGGCTGAAAAAAAGTACAAATGAGTCAGAATGTAAAACCAAATGCGAAGGCACTGTAAAACTTTAAAGTTGGCAGAAAGAATGTGTAAAATGATACACAATTTTCTTAGCTGCCTGGAACTTTATGATAGATAGATAGACAGATACAGGACTAGAGAACTGAAGAGAAGTAAAAGAAATGTTGGATTGTGGTTTAGTAGCACGCTCTACCAACGGCAGATTCCAATATTTTCCCGAATTATTGAAAATTGGCGCCATTTGTTCATATCGACACCCCCCCCCCCCTACTCCTTCCTCCCCACCAACCCGTTCATGTTGAAACAATTCACATTTTATTCTAAAACCTTAGATTCTAAGATTGGTTCTTAATGGAAATTATTAGTTTTTACTTTTCTGACTTTTCTGACTTTTCTGAATTGAGTCTTATCACAAACTCTGGTTTTCAACTCCCTATATTTTTGCAACCTGATGGTGTAAACCTTTCATGCTTTAAACTTTAAACATTTGATTCAAAAGAATTCATACTTTGATGCAAATTTCTAAAAATATACTTATTTATTTTCCGGGATTCACAGAAAAAAACATTTTATTCAAATTATTAAACATAAAATATTCATAAACATAAAATATTCAGAATTTAGAGATCCTAAAACTAGCGTACACTGTACACTTCAGATAACTGCATGCACTACGTAGTACGTACAAGTCACTATTAAGTCTATCCGGTTCATTTCAAGAACCAGGGCCGACATCTAACAAGGGCTCTATCATCTTCCCCCCACCCTTTCTGGAATAACAAGAAAGTTAGGCGCACAGTTAAAACTTCCAAGAAGAGCCGCTAGATGGCTCTGTTCGAGGGGGGAAAGCATCCCTTCCAAATATTCTCAACGCTTCATTTCCCAGCTTCGGCTTTAATAAGCAATTTCTCCACTTTGCTGACCCAAAAATAGAAATTCCTCATTATCCTTCATTGAATCCCATTGATTTTACGACAATCTAACATCTATAACCTCCTTTCATCTAACCAGCTAAGTGCAAAACTTAATAAAATTATAAAACTCGCTACGAGACCCGGTTTCCTGAAACCCGGGTTTGGCAGAGTTCGGGTTTCATGTTCTTAAAACGTATTTTGAAACTCTAGGAAACTGGGTTAAAATATGCTGTCGTTGGAGTCTCCAGCTGTGGTGTTTTATGAATAAAGCTGCTACGCACTTGAAAGTGATCAAATTGGTATCCGTTTTTTGGCGTAATAGTCGGCCCATCCAAGGAAAGATTTAAATTTACACTCTTATAATGTCCAGAAAGGTGGAGCTACTGATTTGTTTTAAATATCTGTAGTTGTGTGATGTCATCAGATACATTTGTGAATTTGCTGAGACTTTCTTTTAGTTTAAAGAATATTTTTGGTACTTTTTTGAAAAAACTATTTTAATGTATTAGGTAGATTAATGTTAATTTTTCTTCAGCAGTCTATTGATATTATTATTCTTACTCGGGCTATATAATTTATAACTAGATTTTATGAAAACAATTTCTGTTATATGGGACTAGGGGGGGGGATGCAAATTCGTCATTGCACCCCTCTTTTAGAAGAAAGGGGGGTGAACCTGCACCCTTGCACCCCCCCCCCTGGTTACGGGCCTGCTAGTAGATAAACTTAAATAAATTACTGTATTCACTTTTAACAGAAAAATGTCTTTAAGTTCGATTGACTGTACTCTATTCAATATCGAGTCTATAGAGAGAGAGATCTTGACTGATCAAGTATTTGGAACATATATGAAGCCATTAAAGCATAAATACGAAGAAATGGTGCTTCATATGTTCCACAATCACTACGAAACTCACTTTCCCAGCCGTAACCCTACTCCTATACAAGGGTTTCATTTTGAGGTATTGCCCCGTAACATTCTGAGTTTCCGGAGTTTCCCGAAACCCTTACGAAACTCAAACCCAGACTTAAGAGAGCTAACCCGGTTTCGTGGCCAGGTTTGGTTTGGGATACCCGGTAAATTTCTTTTAAGTTTTGCCCTCTAGAGCGAGCTGTACAGCGCACATTTATTGTTGTACATTTTTCCTTTAAACTGGAAATACATTTTAAAAGTACATTCGTAAAAAAACAGTCACAAATCCCAGAGTTTGTTTAAATAAAAGAGGGGTCCACTTCATACTTCTCCTATAATATTCCGTCCCTCTGTAGGTCCTATTGACAATTCTACCAAATCTTACGTAGATATATACCGCTTTTTAGACAAGATCAAAGAGGTTTCCTTCTGCAGGGATCAATATGATCAAGATGAGAAATTATCTTTTAATGTTATTATTACTTCCAGGAGTAATAGGAAATACAAATACAAACCCTTCAGTTTCAGTGAGTTTACAGTCCTATATTAGAAGTATGAAGAAATTGAGTGGGAGAAAGGAGGATTGCAGTGAAGGGCCCCCTAGACAGTTTTATTGTTTTTACAACTCTTGGTAGTTTCAATTTTGAGGAAACGGGATACATGGGTAATGGAGCAGCTAATAGAGGAAATAGAGATACAAATATACAAACATAGAGATACAGATATATACACACATAGAGATACAAATATACAAACATAGAGATACAGTTATACAAGCATATATATATTGGATATACACACATAGAGATACAGATGTAAACACATAGAGATACAAATATACAAACATAGAGATACAGTTATACAACTATAAAGATACAGATATACAAACACCCCTACAGATATACACCCATAGAGATACAGTTATACACACATAGAGATACAGATATTAAAACATAGAGATATATTCATTTAAAGAAGATACAGGATACAGATATATAAACATAGAAAGGAAAGAGGATAGAGAAATATAAACATAGATTTAATAAGTATACAGGATAAAATAATACAAACGTAGAGATGAGAAGATACAGGATACACATATGCAAATAGAGTAGAAAAGATACATGATACAGATATATAAACATAGATAAAGAGAAGTTACAGGATCGATACAAATATGTAATAGATATAAAAGTAACACTATATCTGTAAACCTGAACATGCTTATATATATTATGTTGTAGATGGTCTGTAATCCAACTATACAATCATTATTAATTAACTACGTTTTAGGTAACTACGTAAAGCTTATAATCACAATTTAATCTTAACTAGCTGGAAAGGCATTAACCCTATCTCTGCTGGGGTACTTGAAAACCAGGATACGCTGGGGGGGGGTCAATTTGCCCCCCCCCCCATCTAAATCCCATGTTTGATGTCCAAATATGACCAATGATACATTATTGGAAAGCTCTTGTGCTCTACTTTTAGAATCTGCAAAAAAATTAGCAAATTGGCAAAAACTGAATTTTTTATCGCAAAATCCAGTTATATAGTAAAAATGTTTGCAAAAAATTTTTTTTCCAAAAAATGAAACATTATACATTTTTGAAAAGCCCTTGACCATGCCATTTCAAATATGCAAATATTTTTGCAAAATTTTAAATAACCTGATTTTTAATCAAGAAAAACTAAAAATGTGCAAATTTACTTTGACAGGTCGTTTGCAAAAAATTTGCAATTTTTTTTTCGCAAAAATTGTGCAATTCGTTTCCTTATGTCAAAGGCTTTCCAAAAAGCTAAATTTTATCAAAATCTGACAAGTGGAAGTGGGTCAAAACAAAGATTTAGTTTGTTACAGGAAAAAGCAGTCATTCAGGCAGTGTGCCTGAGGACTCAGGCAGCTAGTATTAAAGCCCGGTTTTAGGCCTAAAGGGAGGGCTTTGGGTATGTAGAAAAAGTCATAAAATTTCAACAGCCCCAGACCAATACTTTTTGAGTTATGTAAAAAAAGCTACAGGGGGGGGTCAAATTGACCCCCCCCCCCCAGCGGGAATAGGGTTAAGAACATATTTTTCAGATTGTTGATGAAAATATCTGTGTCCATATTTCTATCTTTGTATCTCTGACATGATTCTTACAATTGATTCAATCAGCCCAACTGTGAAATATTTGACATTTTTATTAGTTTCAACTCGAAAGAGGGCCAACCATTTTCTTTTACTAGACGCTCACAGCCCATTCACACTTTCAAACAAGGCGATAGATAGATATATAAATAGATAGATAGATAGATAGATAGATAGACAGATAGATAGACAGATTGTTTGAAGTTTAGTAAGAAGTCAATAACTTTCAAACAAGGAGATAGATAGATATATAGATAGATAGATAAATAAATATATATATCTATAAATAGATGAATAGATTGATAGATTAATAGTTTTTCAAAAGAGAGTTTGAAGTTTAGTAAGAAGTCAATAACTTTCTTATTAAAAATATCAACAATAAAGTAAAACTAAAAAATTTTTATTAGATTTTTTAAAAGAGTTTAAATTTTTATTTATTTTTTTAAAAAATCCTTTAAAAGAACCAGAAGATAAAAATAACATGTTTTACTTTTATACTTTATTAAACTGTTTTATTTCAAATGTAGAATTCATTCTATATACATGGTTTTATTTTAAACGTCGACTTCGTACCCGGCTTTTAGTGAGTAATAAAATCATTCAGTTTGTTTTGTATTAAGCTTCAGCTAGAAATTGAATGCATGGTCCGGTATATCATTATTTTTAAACCGGTTTAAATTATATAGGGTCTAACAAAATACGTGATTTATTCCTCAATCTTTTTTGAATCTTTAAAGTAAACCTTTGAACTTTGTACAGAATTTGTTAAATAATTTGATACGCACGTCACCCAGTTTGTAAGAATACGATTGATAATTAAACCCCGGTTTTTCCAAAACTCAGACAAAATCTACTTGTCTGCCTAGTTTAGCTTGAAGCTTGGTTTAGATAACATGAATATACAAGCACTATACCGTCTCATAATAATATTATGTTTTCTGATAACACAATCTTTACAGGTTTAAGTATTCATAATGTTTAAAGGGAGTGTTCGCGAAAAATGAAAGGGGGTATAGNTAAAGGAACTGTTCTAAACAGGTTTAATATTCAGCTTAAAGGAACTGTTCTAAACAGGTTTAATATTCAGCTTAAAGGAACTGTTCTAAACAGGTTTAATATTCAGCTTAAAGGAACTGTTCTAAACAGGTTTAATATTCAGCTTAAAGGAACTGTTCTAAACAGGTTTAATATTCAGCTTAAAGGAACTGTTCTAAACAGGTTTAATATTCAGCTTAAAGGAACTGTTCTAAACAGGTTTAATATTCAGCTTAAAGGAACTGTTCTAAACAGGTTTAATATTCAGCTTAAAGGAACTGTTCTAAACAGGTTTAATATTCAGCTTAAAGGAACTGTTCTAAACAGGTTTAATATTCAGCTTAAAGGAACTGTTCTAAACAGGTTTAATATTCAGCTTAAAGGAACTGTTCTAAACAGGTTTAATATTCAGCTTAAAGGAACTGTTCTAAACAGGTTTAATATTCAGCTTAAAGGAACTGTTCTAAACAGGTTTAATATTCAGCTTAAAGGAACTGTTCTAAACAGGTTTAATATTCAGCTTAAAGGAACTGTTTTAAACAGGTTTAATATTCAGCTTAAAGGAACTGTTATGAACAGGTCTAATATTCAGCTTAAAGGAACTGTAAACATAATTTCAAGTGACTCTCCAGTCTTCATCTTTAGAGAAGCTATTCAATTCATAACAGCCTCTGAAATACTTTTTTGATCTAGAATGAAAAGAAATCTATTATATTTCCGTTAAAATTGTTTTTTTGCAATTGTGTTTCTCAATTAATTGACTTGCTAATTCATGTTTTGGAAAAAGTTAAAGGAAATTGTCAAAATATAACACTTTTCGAGTCAGATAAATTACATTATCTTCTACATTTTTATCAGATTTAAGGGTACCGTTGTAAATCAAACAATACCATCTTTGCAGCGATGGGTCACTTGAAATTACGCTTGCAGTCCCATATTGTTGAATTTCTTTTTACTCACAAAATATATCTCTTTTGTTTTATTTTTGAAAGGTGATTTAAAGAGAATCCGCCCCTGCTTATTACCGATATGAAGGAGGGGTCATTTATGGAATTGTTTAGAGTGTAGACATAATTTCATGTGATAGTCCATTTGTAGACTAGTGTGCCCGATTCACAACGGTACCCTTTAAACCTTTTTCTGATCATTAACTACGTAGTAATTGGTTGAACACAATTTTTAGACATAAGCACAAGGATTTCTCTACCGTCGATGATCAAAAAAGGTTTAAAAGTAACAGTTGGTAATCGGACATGTCCCTCTATGAATCATGGGTCATTTGACTTCAACGCTGACTGAACAGCACTGCTTGTAAGCCCTGACCTTGGAAGCACTAAATATGGTTGGTTTAACTTTCATATAAAGTTCCAGGAAGAGCCGTGGTCCTTGAAATTAAAATTCCAGCACATTTAAAGTAACTTACAGGCAGCTAGAGCAAGTTGTAACGTTTAATTTTCGACCGCAAAAACATCAAATGATCTACAAAGATTGAAGTGTATGAAGCTTTAAAACCATCCATGATTTGTAAGCAATGAAAAAGGTTTTACAGGCTCCTCCCGCTTCTCCTGAGCAAGCATCAGCGGTCATCACACAGCTGGACTCTGACTGTAGATCAGGTATAGGTTTAAACATAGCGGTCATCACACAGCTGGACTCTAACTGTGGATTAGGTATAGGGTTAACATAGCGGTCATCACACAGGTGGACTCTAACTGTGGATTTGGTATAGAGTTAAACATAGCGGTCATCACACAGGTGGACTCTAACTGTGGATTAGGTATAGAGTTAAACATAGCGGTCATCACACAGCTGGACTCTAACTGTAGATTAGGTATAGGGTTAAACATAGCGGTCATCACACAGCTGGACTCTAACTGTAGATTAGGTATAGGGTTTAACATAGCGGTCATCACACAGCTGGACTCTAACTGTAGATTAGGTATAGGGTTAAACATAGCGGTCATCACACAGGTGGACTCTAACTGTGGATTTGGTATAGGGTTAAACATAGCGGTCATCACACAGCTGGACTCTAACTGTGGATTAGGGTTAATCACAAAAGATGAGACTTCAGAGACAGCTGTACGGAATTCTTCTTTAAAGACTACGAAGATCGAAAATTCTGTCAAAAGTTGCATCAAAAGGTGCACAAAGAAAATAAGAAATTCAAGATAATGATGAAAACGATGATTTTAGCATTGATTTATTGGAAAATTTCTATTGAGAAATATGTTCCTAACCATCTAATTAGATTACTGTAAAATTTTTACCTTATTTTTCGTTTTTTAATAATTAACAAAAACTATTCTGAAAACGTATCTACCCCCAAAGTAGGAGTTTTGAACGTCGAATTTGCGCTCAAACTCAGGATTTACAGATCTTTAAAAAGTTCAATATGTCTCAAATGAATCCTAAAGAAGCTTTACACAACACTGCATACTCAGTTCAACTACCTTACATAGCCGGTCTGTCCCTTTAAATCTTTTATGTTTTGAACAATAACTTCTCTTATTAAAGAGCTGAATTTACCTTCTCATTCTGTCTAGTCCACCTCTCACAAGGAAATAATTTTGCAACTCCTAGCCTAAATAAATTGGAAGAAAAATATGTGTATTTCAGTGCGTTTTTTCACATATTTTAAAAGACCATTTGTTTTAAGTGATTGAACCTAAATTCGCCCGGGCTACGAGTGTGAATAACCAGCTGGACTTTTACTGTAGACCAGGTAAAGGGTTTCCATTCTTGCGTAATAATAGCGCAAAACTTGATCTGTAGCTGGATAACATATCTGTAAAAATTCTAAATTATTGCATACCACAACAAAAAATTGCATTCGGAGAACCATTTATATTTTAAGTGTCTCTATTGTTATGAAGCTAAAAATCACTACATGTGTAGCTATAGTTGTGCGTTTCCTCAAATGCAAAAGAAATTGAGTTTTTGCCATACACTCTGATTTTCTAATCCCTATATCTTTTCAACCCAATGTCGTAGACCTTAGATCTGTCAATTTGTGAATTCTGTTATATTAAACAAGCTAAGTTTGAAATACAGTTACCATTAAAAAGTGGTATGAAATAAAGGAAATCTAAAGCCTGAAAACTGATGTGAGTAAATCTCCAGTGTATAGGAAAATGTATTGACAAGTAAAAAAGGAACAATTAAAATGATAATGATGAATCATGGAAAGCCGGAGCTCTCTGTCAGACCCTCTGTCTTTCATTCCCTCCGTACGAGGAGTTAATCTTTCCTCTTCCGATCCTTGGTGATCACTAACTTTCATTTCGGTTTTAGCCCAGGCTGATCCTATTTCTGCCTACCTCATTTCAAGCCGTGTTTCTTGCCTATTGGCTTGAATTTAAATAAAATTCCCGGTCCAATGGTGTCTTTGATTCTCAACGCGTTTAAACATGCGTTCAATTCATGTTTTCTGGGTTGGCATTTTCTAACGGCTAAATATCCCTACACGATAAAGATGAGATGACTTGTTATCCGTCCCACTGCTATCGTTGACTACAGTTTATTTACAAGTAAGCCTCTCTCCATGCTTACAATACCAATGGTTTGCACTATCAGAATTTACCGTTTGAATTCGGAAATGACACTCACTCTGTAAATGGATGTCACTTAAAATTACTTCTGCAGTCCCATAAGTGACGATTAAGATATATTTTTTTATTGATTTCCAATGGATACTCAGAGGGAATAGGGAGTGCAGGAACTGAATAAATTCAGTTTGCTGCTTAATTTTTTTAAGCAACATACAGTAAGCCATAGAACTCTGGAATATGAAGACGACTGTTAGACTCAAGTTATGCCAAAGAACATTAGACACAGCAATTGTGTAATGTAAACAGACTCATTTAATTAAATAAGTGATTTAATTACTATTTGATTTGTGACAGCATCACATACGCTTAATTATTGTTTTAATGTCGTTTTTCTATTCCACAGTCTATAAATCCTTTGTTTATTTGTCTGTACATTAATTATTTAGGTTGTATTTATATGAATGGATACTGCATCAAGAAAAAATATAGACTGAGAAGGTTAGAAATTTCAGAAAATGTTTTTTTGAATCAAACATTTTTTTTACAATAAAAGTTTTTAATTTATTTATTTTAGAAGAGTCGTAGAGAAAACTAGAGAAGGAGATACTTTCTTTCTTCAAATCTACAATATACTCTGCTAATCTACAGTAGAGAGATGTACCCTTTCTTCAATTATACAATATACTCTGCTAATCTACAGTAGAGAGATGTATCCTTTCTTCAATTCTACAATTTACTCTGCTAATCTAATAAGTAATAAATGAAACTTTTTTATCGTAAATAAATAAATATATTTATTTCTATTAAAATTGATTAATGATAAATGATAGAAAAGAAAAGATTGATATTAAATGTATCAAATTATCAAATTATCAAATTATCAAATTATCAAATTATCAAATTACTAAATTATCAAAATATCATTGTTTAAAGGTTTCTTTATTATTCAATTATATGAATGTCATCATGAAACAAATGTTTTGGAAAAGTCTTTTTTCGTAAATACAATAATTACAGAATTTTTCTCACAAAAAATATTTCTTGAAAATATATTGGATAAAATACTCTGAAATTTATTTTATTAATTTGCAAATTTTTCCTGTAAAGCTTTAGTTAATTCTACCAAAGACTAGATTCCTTTATCCAGATTATTAGATGACTTAGCACTCTGTTGTTACTAAGATAAATGTGAACAGGGTACTGTTGTTAATCTGACAACACAATAACAATGGAGGAAATTATTTATTTTACATAAAAAAATTCTATTCAAGATTATTACTGGATCTTATCTTTCAATAGTGTTCCATTTGCAGAAAATATATAAAAGATCTATTTAACCAAATTTACACGGGCCAAAGTTTTAATCAAAAAAATCTCTTTTATCGTGATCACAAAATATTAAAAATACGTTTTTTGGCATTGATTGCCAGAAAACTGTGAAATTAAAGTTTTTTTTTTATTACAGTATTAAACTAGCTTTGCCTAAAAACTAAGTTAATGGAAGACGACCAATTAAAGACAATCCACCTAACAGAAAATAAATAGATCATTCCCGTGGTTCTATATCCGAGCTCCATAAAAACAGGGGGTACAGGAGATACAGGGGGTACAGGAGATACAGGGGGCACAGAAGATAAAGAGTATGAAGGAGATACAGGGTATACAGGAGATACAGGGTATACAGGAGATACAGGGGATACACGAGTTACAGGGGATATAGGAGATACAGGGAATACAGGAGATACAGAGGATACAGGAGATACAGGTAATACATGACTTACAAGGGGTACAGGAGATACAGAGGATACAGGAGTTACAAGGGGTACAGGAGTTACAAGGGGTACAGGAGATACAGAGGATACAGGAGATTCAGGTAATACAGGAGTTACAGGGGGTACAGGAGATACAGAGGATACAGGAGATACAGGTAATACAGCAGTTACAGGGGATACAGAGGATACAGGAGATGCATGGTATACAGGAGTTACAGGGGGTACAGGGGATACAGAGGATACAGGAGATACAGGGGATACAGGAGATACAGGGGATGAAGGAGATACAGGGTATACAGAATATACAAAGGATACAAAGATACAGGGGATACAGGAGATACAGGGGATACAGGAGATACAGGGGATACAGAATATAGAGAGGATACAAAGATACAGGAGATACAGGAGATACAGGGGATACAGGAGATACAGGGGATACAGGAGATACAGGGGATACAGGAGATACAGAGGATACAGGAGATACAGGGTATACAGGATATACAGAGGATACAGTAGATACAGGGGATGCAGGAGATACAGGGGATACAGGAGATACAGGGGATACAGGAGATACAGGGGATACAGAAGATACAGGGAATACAGGAGATACAGGGGATACAGGAGATACAGAGGATACAGGAGATACAGGGAATACAAGAGATACAGGGGATACAGGAGATACAAGTGATACAGGAGTTATAGGGGATACAGGAGATACTGGTGATACAGGAGATACCGGTGATACAGGAGATATAAGGGATACAGGAGATACAGGGGATACAGGAGATACAGTGGATACAGGAGATACAGGGGTTACAGGATATACCGGGGATACAGGATATACAGAGGATATAGGAGATACAGGGGGTACAGGAGATACAGGGGGCACAGAAGATAAAGAGTATGAAGGAGATACAGGGTATACAGGAGAAACAGGAGATACAGGGGATACATGAGATACAGGAGATACAGGGGATATAGGAGATACATGCAATACAGGGGATACAGGAGATGTAGGGATACAGCGAAACAGGGAAAACAGAGATACATGGAATACAGGAATGCAGGGGAAACAGAGATACAGGGGATACAGAAGTTAAGGGGATACAGGGGATACAGGGAATAAAAGGGATACATATTAGTAAAGTATGAAGTTTATTTCAAATATGAAAGTAAAAATATAATTACAAAACAAGATTTTTTTTTAAATTAACAATTTTCATGATTACAAATTAAGCTTTAAGAGCTGATATAAATTGGGAACTATATATTTTTGATGATCGAGTTGTTACGGTTTTAATAAAAAATATATTAAACCTAAAAGACCTATTTTTGGTTTCCAAATTGAATCTTTGTAGATTTGTGAAATGTATTTAAAAAACCCATGAAAAATTAAAAAAACATGTTTACATACACGTGCCGTTATTGACAAAAAAGACATATTTTAATTTTACAAACAGTTAACTTGTATTTATATAATAACGAGCTAGCTCTTAAAACTAAAAAAGGGGCAGCTCTGCAGGAGAGCCTTAGTATAGAATAGTCCAACTTAAAGGAACTGAGTCCGAATTTGATGAATTTGAGCCGCGTCTTAAATCCGCCAGTTAATCGCCGGCTTAAATCTTGAAACATTTAAAGTGGAACATACCATATTTGAGCCGCTGTTCAAATTCTTTAAATTTGACCTCTATATATTTTAAGATAGAACAACTTTGTGCCCTGATAAAGGTTTTAAGGCTAGCATTGTGAATCAGACATGCACCTCTTAAAATAAATGGCGGGGTTCCTATTGTAATTATTTGTTGTACAGTCCCTTTAAAATAATATTATAATTAGTATTAAATTAGAGAGCTTTGCTAACTGTGTTCACCCAATCTTCTAGTTCTGCTACAGAGTCTAATATTACATTCAGATTATTCAGATTATTTATATTCAATTCAACAATTAATTATTTATTTCTGAAAATCTATTTAATTAGAGACTATAAAGCGTAATTTCAAGTAAATCTCGGCCTCCATGCAGAGATTGCAATGCCCGGGTTACAACAGTCCCCTAGAAACCTTAATCTGATCAAAAACGTCGTTTTTCTGATTAGAAAAGTGTTTTTTAAAGATAATTTCTCCAGTCTTTATTATAAGCAAGATATGTGTAAGCCACTTCTGACTCGTACTTAAACAGACAAAGCTTTTAATGGTACCGTTGTAAATCGGGCATTGCCATTTGTGCGTGGAGAATTGCGCTTACAGTCGATCTCCCCTAAAAAGTTTAAAATAATTCCTTTTATTTCAATTCAATCAATTTGAGACTATTCAATAAGAGCTGGGAACTTTTGTAACAATTTTATAGGTACGATTACCATGCGGGATATTGATTGAGATTAGTTTAATCTGCAGATTAGCAAAAGATCAAGATCAAGCATTAATTTCGATATCCATACATTACAATTTTTCCCAGCTCAGTTAAATAAATAAATTGATAGATTTTAAGAAATATAAAATAATCCGAATTGAATTCCTTTTGATCCTTCAACAATTTTGGCCTCAAAACTTCCCTCAGGTTCCAGCTGAAAAAAGGCAATATTTACAAGCCATGCACAATGATTTATTTGAACAGAGCTGAAAACTTTAGAATGGAATATCCTTAATCCCGATCGGTTAATTAATCTGGAGATTAATAACATGAGAAGAACAAGCATTATTTAATCTCAAGATTAAGAAAAAAAGTGGATTAAGCATTAATCCCGATATCCGCATTTCAAAAGTTCCCAGCTCTGGTCATATATGTATGTTTTCATTTTGGTGGATTTCCAAAAGTAAAAAAAAAAAATTTTTTTTTTGATATATGCATGTTTATATATTAGTGAATCTTAACTTCAAATTATATATTTAAAACCTTAAGAATGGCCAACCCAGATTTTAAGGACTCCAGTCCTTTTTTCAGTCCTGCTTTGATAGATTTAGGATTCACTCCACTTCCTGGACCCTTATCAAGGCTTCTGAAAAAATGGTCTGATAATCTTAAATGGAGTGTTCGCGAAAAATGAAGGGTGGTAAACAGACTTACAGCGAAAAATTATCGATGGTGATTGCTACAAATTTTACTTCGTTTCGTCTATAAAGAGAAAATTGTTAAAAGCGGATCGAATAGTCATACCGAAGAACGTAGCGTCCATACAAATTCAGAAAGTTTCAATATCAGACTCGTATTGTAAAAAATCAATTTAATTCCAAACAAATCATTCAGATATCACAAACTATAATTATCGATAATTTTTCGACGCATTCGTATATAGTTGATATTTAATAATATTTTTTCATGATCCGTTGTCACTTTTGAAAACATTTATTCCTGTATCGAGGATTTTTGATAATGAAGACAACATTTTCATATTTTCCAGGAATGTTCGAAAATCCAGCGCTAGCCATAAAAACAAGTTGTAAGCTGAAATATTATTTTTTTTAAATCAATAGAAAAATGTCAATAAATCAATGTTAGAACAAATTCCATCATTATACTGAATTTCTTATTCAAGTTTGTTCGCAGATTTCTACAAATTCTTCAAATGTCGTCTTTTCATTAAAAATTCCAGAAGATCTACAAAAAATGTTTGTAAACAATGAGTCATTACAATAACTAATAATTGAATAAGATTTTTTGATGATAAGACTTAATTTTTATTTTCTCAGCCTGTTCCTAAACAGCTAATTACTTTACTGTGGTATTTTTGATTTGTTGTTATTTAAAATTTTCAAAAATCGATTCTCAAAACGTAACCACCCAAATGGATGATTTTTAATGTCGACTTTGAGCTCAAACTCAGTATTTATACATCATAAACGTTTTACATTTCTCAAATTAATCCTAAAAATATTCTTCAATACTACTTTCTCAGTTCAACTACCATACATTTCCGGTCACGCCATTCAATGCTCCATACAAATCCAGTTGTAACAATTAAGAATTTAAAAATTCTTTCAAAATTGGTCTCCCTTACTCGGGATTATTTCTAAAACTTTTTTTTAAAAATACATATAAATTTTTTAAACCTGTTCGCTAACATGACGAGGGGTAAATGTAGTTCATACAACATAACACCTCTCATCCTACAGAACAGACATTTTTTTAGTTAAACAAATTCCGAATTTCTTTTTGTAATTATAGGTACCTGTTATTTCCTTTGGAAGAGAAACTATGTTAATTCAGTTTTTCAAAGAGAAAAGAAATATATGAAAATAAATAATTCTGCAATATTTTGTTCAGATTAAAAATCTGACATATAGAGATAACCAGGAAACTGTGGTATAAATTGACGATATTACCGTATTAAGTGTTTTCGATGTTCTTACATATCAAATAGTTTAAATACTAAGTTATTAAATCACTTTAGGTAAGATTGATCTGTTTTCAACACACAGTGTCTGTGTCTCATGTTTTATTGACTGTTTCATGTCATAAATGTCATAGATTGAGCCTAAAAGTAGTCTATTAGTCTTGGCCTTTTTAAAATGTGTTGAGAGATATGAAGAATTTAGTTCAGATTCCGATATATTTGGTTTTATTCAATAAAATTAAAATCTAAGCAAAATGTTTAACATCTCCGGTAATATCGACAGTACAATAAATGTAAACCACATATTGGAAATGTAAGGACTGGGGGAATTTTGTGGTTATTGTTTCAAGAATCATACTTGTCATAATAGGTTGACTGAATGTCACAATTATATTTAAACTTCAAAGACGACTTTAAAGTCGATTTTCTTCATGTTTCGTAGTTTTAATTGACACTTAATTTATAAAGAGATATATTTCAGAAAAGTTATTTCTCTTTTTATATCTTCAAAACTATGATTTAAAAATAGTGGGCTGCAGATTTATGCAATAGAAGAGAAAAAATATTAACAAAATTCAACAAATTTCCAAAATCAGTCGTTGTCGCATATATTAATACAATGAAGACGACTTTAGATTTAAATTTGATTTATATCAAGCTTTTATACAGCACACATAAAAATGGAAACAAAGAGATTAAAAAAGATTCTCTTCAATTATATGCAAATTTGTAATACGAAAAAAGCCTGTTAACAATCAAAGTCGTTTTAATTGAATGATATAATCACCGACCACTGCATACAATCTACAGTACATTTTCTACATTTTTGAAGGGTACCACTTGTCACTCTATAAATGTAAGTTCACTTGAAAATATTCCTACAGTTCCTTTAAAAAGATTTAAGTTAACATATTCCTGGTAAAATAATGTTGAAAACATCCAACACCTGCTCACATAATTCAAGCTTGCGCTTCAACTGGGCATCTAAAATACAATGAGACCTATACAAATCTGAAATTGGAAGACGACATTAAGTCAATGTTATGTATATTTGATGTATAAGTTATAAGCAAATAGTTTACAGTTCCTTGAAAATCAACTTATTAAGATAAATGAGTTTGTGTACACAACACAAGTGCTGTGTTTCATGTTTATTGTTTATTTTTTAGTGGCCATTTTAAAATCATATCTTCAGTTTAACAGTCGTCTTCATAATCCACAGTATTATGGGTCTCAAACTATTTAAAGAGTTTAAAATATAAAAGCCAAAAGTAAAATTTTTATATCTTCCATGCCACTGAACTCGATTTCCAGAATGAAAACTTTGAATTCAAACCGATGAATAATTTCAGCTGCATATGAAAACAGCGGATTAATTCTATTTAATTTTTATATTTATCCAGGAAGAATATGGCTGTTTATACCTGTAAGTGTTGTTGCTTCATATCCTAGCATTCTACCGTACATCTTAGCCAGGCTGTACTTTACAGATATCATGATCACGTGATTACTGTGCAGTACCTGTACAGTTAAGGGGATTTAGACATTAAAGGGACTGTAAGCGTAAATTCAAGTGACCCTCCATGCAAAGATAACAATGCTAGATTTACAACGATACCCTTGAAACCTAATCTGATAATAAAAAATGTAGATGCTACCGTCGTTTTCAGGATTTAAAAAGTATTTAATTCAGATAATTTCTCCATTGATTCTCATAAGGAAGAAATGCGCAATTCATTTTCGCAGAGGACACGCTAATGAAAATAACAGTTTAAAGTAACAACAGCATAATTATCTAATTCATACTTTATCCAAAAAAACTGTTAAGGGTACCGGTGTAAATTCTCTTTGCATGGAGGGTCACTTGAAATCACGCTTAGAGTCCCGTTTATAACCGCTATAAATCAGAATGACACAATTAAAAGATTAAATTCACAGTTGTGCATTTAAGTAAAAATAAATGAAGAAAAAACAATATTTGTTAAGTCACAACTAATATTTAATTTTAAAATGATCCAAATGTGTGCTGTTTTGTCTTTGCAATTTCATTCTTTTGCAGTGTAGTCATGTAAATAGACGTTCAAATTTAAGCGGGAAGAAAAAAGTCGTCTTTGCTCTTTATCTTTAACATGTTTACCTGTCCATATTTGCGGAGAAAAGCTTCGTGGGCTGGAATACTACATTCATCTGGAGACCTTAGTCAGTTTGTTTTGAATTATTATCTTATTAATAAAAATGTATCTAAATATTATTAAATAAACTGAATTCTAAAGATACCGTCTTCGTATTTATTAGCGACCCTCTGTTTAAAAGAGGCGCAGGTCCGATTTACAACGGTTCCATTTAAACCTTTATCTGATCAATAATTTGGAAGATATCGTCGGTTTTTCTGGCTTGTAACAGATAATAATTCCTACATTTATTTCCTGCAGTAAAAAGACGTAAGTCTATTTTGTAGAGGAACCACAATTTAAAATAATCAGTTTTCAAACTTATGAACATCTAGTTCAAACTTATGAACATCTAGCTCAAACTTATGAACATCTAGTTCAAACTTATGAACATCTAGTTCAAACTTGATCAGACAACGCTTATAACTTAGGGATGTCGTTGTGAATCGGCCATGTCACTCTATAAATGGAGAGTCACATGAAATTACGTTTTCAAAAATATGTTTAAATGTTAGACACTTATTTTTCTATGATAATATACAGTGAAACCCTTAATAACAAATACATCGGAAGAATTTATCAAATGTCGTCTTGAAAATTTTTCAATGAGTTTTATACCATATAACGTAAATTTATTTATACTATATTACGTAAATTTCAGTATTTGCGAAAATAAAAAATAGCCATAAATATGCGGGAACAGTTTTAAAGAGTTCCATATAATCATTTAATTAAAAAACTAAATATCTGCAACATTCCTTTATCAGAAAGTGAAGAATACGACATTTGATGAATTCTTTCGATGTATTAGTTGAACATCTTTTAAATCTTAAAGTTATGGCGAAATATTCAATAGTTCTTACTTCGGATTGTATTCAAGTTTTTCGGCGTGGTCTTTCACAGCATTTGAAACCCTAAAAATATACTTATTAACATCGTTTAAAATTTTGTATTACTGATAAAAAACTACCCATAAAACTGTGAACTAGGAATACGACTTTTAGAATGGTCTCAAAATATATAAAAATTATTCATACCTTGATATTTTTACAGGATCCATCTTGACTTCACAGTTGTTACATTTCCAGTCAGCACTTGTACTTGTTACATCGCTTGGTAACAAGTAACCCTGGTAACAATTATAATTTTTGTCATGGTTATATTATTATTATTAACCCTATTCCTGCTGGGTCAATTTGACCCCCCCCCCCCTGTAATTTTGTTTTACATAACTCAATAAGCATTGGTCTGAGACTGTTGAAATTTTTGAATATTTGAAATGGCAAGGTACTTTTTTTCAAAATAGTATATTTTTATCATTTTTTGGACATCTTTTTTGCAAACATTTTTTTGCTATATAACTTGAATTTGCAAATATTTTTGCTTATTCTAAAAGTAGAGCATTATAGCTTTCCAATGATGTATCATTTGTCATATTTGGACATCAAACATGGGAGTTAGAGGGGGGTCAAATTGACCCCCCCCCCCAGCGTATCCTGGTTTCAAGTACCCCAGCAGGGATAGGGTTAAATCATCAAATGATTTACACTTGGAAACAGAAATTCTAAAATAGAAAGCCAAAAAATATTTTTTTTGTCACCTTTTTACATTTTGGGCAGACCATAGCACTGGAGTATGTTTTCAGTTCGGTAGGGTCACTACATCTTGGACACTTAAGAATTGTTTTTATCAACAACAAAAAATAATAATAATAATAAAATTTGATTTTAAAAAATTTCTTTGCCACTTTTATATATCTATCTATTATGTCTCCCTAATAACACGAATATTATCAGGTAACCACCCTTCCCGGCAACCCTCTTAATTGTTAATTTGTATACAAAGAAATTTAGTCTTTGCCACAAACTCAAATTTTCGAATCCATACATGTTTGCAATTTTATTGTGTTAAGCTTTAACATTTTAAACGTAGCTAATTCGATTTAACATAATTGATAGTTTGAAATATGTATGATCTACGACATTCTGTTATTTAAAAGGGCCTAAACACAAAGGCCAAATACCTTAATAAACCCATTTTGTGCAATGTTTTATTTGTTTGTTCTTCTAAACAAAAAAAAATGTAATAATGTATCCTTCATTTTATCGTTACATGACATCAAAATCAACTTCACTATATGTGTATTTTAAACAAATCGTAAATATTACGAATTGTGTATGCCATCTAAAAATGTCTTAATAAATAGATATCGAATACAGATAGGATAGGTTTTTAAAATTATGAAATCAAATCTATATATATTACTACTCCGTCCAAAATAAAAAAATCAGATATGTACAAAATAAATTCGTCTTTTTTCTGCAGGAATTCAGGTTTCTGCAAGATTAAAATATTGAATGATAAAGTTTTCTTATTCCGTTTTCTTGAGATTTAAAACTAAGAAATCCCGCAAAATCAAACTAGAAATTCCGCAATCTTATCTCAAGTTTTTGTATCATTATAGCAGCCGACAATACTTCAGTCTCTCGGTTAATCATGCACAGAGTCAGTGGAGGAGTATTTGCCCGTCTCTGCGGTTCTAGAATATCTAATCAACTTAATGAGAATGTTTGCAATTATTCTCGTTCCTTAGTCAGCCCACAGAATGGTCCAAAGATAGCTGTGGTGGGGGCTGGCCCTGCAGGATTCTACGCTGCTCAACATATTGCTCAGGCAAGGCCCGATGCAACAATAGATATTTATGAAAAGCTTCCAGTGCCATTTGGACTAGTGAGGTTTGGTGTCGCTCCTGATCATCCAGATGTAAAGAAATGTATATCAACCTTTAACAAAACTGCCGAATTACCCAATATTACGTTCTATGGAAACACTGCTCTTGGAAGAGATATAAGTCTAAAGCAATTGAAGCAGTGCTATAACAGTGTACTACTTAGCTATGGAGCAGAGGAGGATCAACGTCTTGGTATCCCTGGCGAGCACCTTAAAAATGTCACAGCTGCTAGGTCGGTTGTATCTATGTATAATGGTTTACCAGGAGCTCAGGGTGTTGAAATAAACCTGGATACTGAGACCGTTGTTATTATTGGAATAGGGAATGTTGCTGTTGATGTCGCCAGATTAATTCTTACACCCATAGATGTTCTAAGGAAGTATGACACTACTGAAGATTGGTTGGAAAAGTTGCGCAGTAGTCGTGTCAAGCGTGTGGTATTAATTGGTAGACGTGGACCTCTCAATATCAGTTTTACAGTTAAAGAACTCAGAGAGATGCTGAAGCTCGAAAATGTGCGTCCAGTCTTTCACAAGGAACAATATTTACCTTTCAAGGAACAGGTTGCTAAACAGGAACGTGGACGAAAACGTGTGATTGAGCTCTTATTTAAAAGTGCACTTACTGAACCTGAACCCGAAACTGCTGAAAGATGGGCCAGGGCAGAAAAAGAGATGGAACTAAAACTGCTTAGGTCGCCACTTGAGTTCTTGCCGGGTCGTGACGGTAAATCTGTGGAGAAAATAAAACTGGCAGTGAATGTCATGAAGGGAGACACTGTAATGGAGACAAAAGAAACTGAAGAAATAGAAACTGGTTTAGTTCTTAGATCTATTGGGTATAAATCGATTCAAGCAGACAAGGACTTGCCATTTAATGATAAGAAAGGAGTTGCGAAAAATGTTGATGGTCGTGTGAGTGAAGGGGTATATGCAGCAGGCTGGTTAGCTACCGGACCCAGAGGAGTGATTGTAGATACCATGGGAACAGCATTCAAGATTGGAGCAAATGTTGTAGCAGATCTAGAAAAAGGACATAAGGAGAATCCAGGACGATCTGGAATGCCTAGTTTGCCAAAAAGTACAAGCTGGAAAGATTGGCGTAAATTAGAAAAGATCGAGATGGAAGCTGGAAAACTCATTGGGCGACCTAAAGAAAAGATAACTTCCGTTTCTGAGATGCTTAGCAAAATTCAGTCATAATTGTTTAAATGCCAATGCTAACTTCTTTTTAAAAACTGCATTTAATTATAGAGCCTTTAACTTTATTATAATTTTGTTTAGTTTTTCATTTTTTCTTTATAAATGTAAAGAAAATAAATATTTAATATATGAAATAGATTTTTTCGAGCTAAAAAAACATCAGGTTGCAAAGATATAGGAATAATATAGTTTGAATCTATAACAAAAACTAATTTTCTTTTTACATACAGGGAGATCCACACTACTGACATACAAGTTATGTGTATTTGTTATTGTTGGAAAGTAAATAATTTTACCAATAGCTAAATGTGAAATGGGTCTGTGTACACAAAACGATTGCCGTGTATTCAAAATCAAACTTGAATCCAATAGTTGTCTCCTTTTTTTACAGTTTTATAGGAAGCACTGTAGAAAATAAATAGTTCACCTGGCAGTGGAAGAATTTGCCCAAATTAAGAAGTTCCTGTCTAAAGTAAAATAGTTTTAAAACTTAAAAGTTAAGTATAAATTAAACCTTACTGCAAAGTAAATTTTTTTAATGAATAAATGAAAAATGATAAATATCAAGCTAGATCTTTCTTTAATGTTTTCCTCTCTGTATACCTGATGAGTACTGGATCCAGTGGGTCCACATAAGTATGAGTTATATCCTCTCCTTCTTCTATATTCCTACTCGCTCTTACGGTCATTCTAAAATAATTTTCATCGCTGTAGACGTAATTTCAAGCGATTGGCATTTCCGATTCACAACGGTGTTAAAGTAACTCCAGCCTGTGTATCTAGAAAGGGTATTTAAATCAATTGAAAAGATACAGGATCCACAAAGTACGAGACTTCAGAGACGACCCCCCAGAGTTAATACTGTCTTTTTCCTGAATTTTTTATTTCCTTCAACTGTAAACTTGTCTTTTTTTCCCAATCATTAAATATTAAATAATTGCCTTTTTACGAGAAATAAAATATGTTCTTTTATGGGTATGAGTTATAAAACGACTATATGCAAGGTAGATAAACCATAGATAAATAAATAAACATAGATAGCTTATGTACGCAAAATCATCAAGAATTGTACAGTCCGCGAACTCATACTTCTAGGGGTCAAAGTGNTAAAATACAGCTATGGTTAGGTATACTAGCAATACTAAACAAACCTAAAATACAGCTATGGTTAGGTATACTAGCAATACTAAACAAACCTAAAATACAGCTATGGTTAGGTATACTAGCAATACTAAACAAACCTAAAATACAGCTATGGTTAGGTATACTAGCAATACTAAACAAACCTAAAATACAGCTATGGTTAGGTATACTAGCAATACTAAACAAACCTAAAATACAGCTATGGTTAGGTATACTAGCAATACTAAACAAACCTAAAATACAGCTATGGTTAGGTATACTAGCAATACTAAACAAACCTAAAATAATCTTCATGGGACTGTCGTCATAATGTTATAGGTATCTCTACGCCGGATTCACAACGGTACCCTTGAAACCTTTATCTAATCAATATTGTTAAAGATAATTGGGGTTTTCCAGCTTAGCTTGAAAATATTTTAAATTAAAGCTGATGATTCTTACATTGTTTAGCTGCACAGAAATGCGCAAGTTATTTGTAGAGGAGCCGCAATTAAAAAAGATCAATATTCATAATTTTGTTTCGCAAATTTTAAACGTTCCAACAATATTTTAACATTTTATGTTGTTAGTCTAAAATCCTAAAACAAAAAATTGAAAATTTTTGTCCAAAACATCGATAATCCCAGTTTACTTACTCACCCTGTTTATAAGTGGAGTATTCATTTAAATAACGTTTCTAAACCCTTTAAATCTTTAATTTAGGGGGTTAAGTAGAAAAACTAGGGATATTTTTTCTGTACCTCTAATACTTGATCTTTGAACTGTTGAAAACTCAGTGTCAGCTTTCTAAACAGGTTAAACAATTTGAACAAAAACAATCAAGTTAGATTTTTTAAAGTTTCAATAAGTTTGTACAAAAAAATTTTATTAACTGGTAGTAATCAATTTATTAATTATTGACACTAAATGCTTTAATTTGAGAAAACTGAAAAATATTCAATTTTCAGTTATTAACTCAAATAAAAAACTTATCCTATCAAAAGTTTTAACAGGCAAACTTTTTTTGACTTATTTCTTCAAACAAACCTACTATTAGACAAAACAAATCATAAATTATTTATTTTTGATTCTTCAAAAAAGAACATTCTGCCAAATCTTGAAATGATCTTGAAATTATAAATATTGAAAAACAACAAATTTTTTATAAATGTTATGAATATGAATATTTTTAACCTGAGTTATCTCGAAATCATTGACTAGAAATATGCCGAGAACTGTATCTATTAACTCCTCGGAGAATTCAACCAAACCAAACCGAACCCTGGAATAAGAAACATTAAAAACCAAACCAACCCAAAACCTTAAATAAGAAACATTTAGAACCAGACCCAACCGAACTTTATAAAAAGAAACATTTAGAGCCAAACCAAAGTTAACCCTAGAATAAGAAAATTAACAACCAAACCAAACAGAACCCTGGAATAAGACACATTTAGAGCAAACCCCAACCAAACTCTGGAATAAGAGACATTTAGAACCAGACCCAATCGATCCCTGGAATAAGAAACATTTATAACCAAATCAAATCCAACCCTGGAATAAGAAACATTTAGAACCAAACACAACCAAACCCTGGAATAAGAAACATCTAAAATCAAACCAAACCGATCCCTGGAATTAGAGACAATAAGAACCAAACCCAAACGGTCCCGGGAATAAGAGACAATATGGACCAAATCAAACAGAACCCTGAAATAAGAGATAATTAGAACAAAACCAATCCGAACCCTGGAACAAAAAAACTTTTTGAACCTACCCTAACCAAACCCTGGAATAAGAGAGACATTGGACTTAGGAGCTAGAGAGGAAACTTTCCGCTATTTTAGAGAGCATAGAATTATAACATTTAAAACATACTTGAATAGTGCTATTATATTTTTTTCAAACAAAGAAATTGAGTTTTGCCACAAATTCGAATTTATAAATCACTTTATCTGTTCAACCTGATGGTGCAAACTTTTGATATTTTAAACTAAGACGATTTAATTTAACAGAAATCCTCGGGGTGGCAAAATCGGTTTTAGAAAACTAAAGTTTGTGGCAAAAACTTAATTTCCTTGCCTTGTCTGATGCAAGTTTGTTTTTAAAGGGACCGTAAGCGTAATTTCAAGTGCCCATTTATTCATAGATGGCAATACCAGATTCATAACGGTACCCTTGAAACATTTATCTGATCAATATTATTGAAGATATTGTAGTATTTCTAGGGTTAAAAGTGTTTAGTTCTGATCATTCCAATATGATTACCTACAGTAGAAATGCGCAAGGCACTTTGTATATAGTAATACACAATTGAAAATAATCATAGTTAACATTTTTTAAACACTGATGTCTAATTTATACTCAATCATACAAAGCTTTTAGGGTACCCTTGTTAATCAAGAGTCCATCTTTGCATGGAGGGTCACCTAAAATTACGCTTACAGTCCCTTTAATTTATGATTTAATACTGCTTTTAATTGTTTTAGAAAGACTCTTTAAGGAAACGAAAATCTGAATAAAAAAAAATATTCTAAAAATCTAAATCTAACCTGATCAAGTTGATTATTTGTTTATGCTTCTCAGTCCAGTATTTCTAAATAAAAAAAAATTGTTTAACTCTTAATTTTCATTAGATGAATGTTCTGATATAAACTAATCCTTCTTTTTTCTTCACAGCGAAAATGTGTTTATTTTGTTATAATATTTTAGATTGAATAAAGGTAAATAAATAAAAGGCTAAAATTATCATTCCTTTATAAAAGCTGGTTTTTTGGTATGATTCAATGATAACCAGAGAGCGCAGCCCAAGGGGTTTTCATTGAATCCCTTGGGGGGTTTAAATTTCCATTGATTCTAATTTGTCTGAGAGTAAATGATACATTGCATTATGAAAAAAGAAAATGTTTTACCTCTCCTCTTCTTGTTCCATTATGCGACATTAAACTCCAAATCATTTCCCACCTAACAGACAAATATTAATTTAGAAAATGCTGAAATTTTTATAAAATTAAAAAAAGTACCAATAAACTAAATTTAACGAACAAACGTTAACGTTTTAAAAATGAAGTATGTGCCTGCATTATTTTATGCATGTACTGGTTTACCTACACAGGAGACGTTGATGGCGACCCAAACACAATAACCTCCGGTATTTTTAAATACCGAACCAACTTTTAATCATCTAAAGTGCGGTAAAAATACGGACTATATAAGGCAAAACAGGACGGTACGCCAAATGTGACATTATAATGTGCAAAACTATATGAAAGTTGAATTTTGTATTTTTTTTTATTATATACAAGTTTTATATTTCAAGGCACGCATGTTTGAAATAGTGAAGTTGCAAATATGAAAGCCATAATTTCAAGCTTAATGTATTTGAATGGTTTAAAAATGACTTTAAAGAAAAAAATTAACAGCTGTAGTAAACCATGAATGTAAGATTCCCCTCCTCACTTCTATAACGATCGTTTTTGGACTGAAATAATTCTCTGGTGTCTCTTAAGTGGGTAATTCAATATATATTTACCTTTTTATGTCAGTCTGTTTGAGTAAACCCTGTATATTTACCTTTTTGTGTCAGTCTGTTTGAGTAAACCCTATATATTTACATTTTTGTGTCAGTCTGTTTGAGTAAAACCCTATATGTTTACATTTTTGTGTCAGTCTGTTTGAGTAAACCCTATATATTTACATTTTTATGTCAGTCTGTTTGAGTAAACCCTGTATATTTACCTTTTTGGGTCAGTCTGTTTGAGTAAACCCTGCATATTTACCTTTCTGTGTCTGTCTGTTTGAGTGAACCCTGTATATTTACTTTTGTTTGTCAGTCTGTTTGAGTAAACCCTAAATATTTATCTTTTTGTGTCGGTCTGTTTGAGTAAACCCTGTATATTTACCTTTTTGTGTCAGTCTGTTTGAGTAAACCCTTTTTAGGTCAGTCTGTTTGAGTAAACCCTGTATATTTACCTTTTTGTGTCAGTCTGTTTGAGTAAACCCTTTATATTTACCTTTTTGTGTCAGTCTGTTTGAGAAAACCCTATATATTTACCTTTTTGTGTCAGTCTGTTTGAGTAAACCCTAAATATTTTCCTTTATGTGTAAGTCTGTTTGAGTAAACCCTGTATATTTACCTTTTTGTGTAAGTCTGTTTGAGTAAACCCTAAATATTTACCTTTTTGTGTCAGTCTGTTTGAGTAAACCCTATATATTTACCTTTTTGGGTGAGTTTGTTTGAGTGAATCCTGTCTATTTACCTTTTTGTGTCAGTCTGTTTGAGTAAACCCTATATATTTACCTTTTTGGGTGAGTTTGTTTGAGTAAATCCTGTCTATTTACCTTTTTGTGTCAATCTGTTTAAGTGCAAGGGCTCGTAATGGAGATATAACCGAATACAAGGGTTCCTCTTTATCATAATTAAACTCAATACTGTCAACCTTTACACTTCTCTCCTATACAGACAGCAAAATTATATTTAAAAATTTACAAAAAAAATCCTAAATCTTACATTTTTTTCAATAATAAGGCCACATATTAAAGTCAGATAAGACAAATTAAGATATTAAAACTTTTCTTGTCTGATCTGTGAAATATTTGATCTTTTATATTAAATTTTTTTATTTGACCAAAAGTGTTCTGGACTCTCTGAGTCATGCGTGTACTAATCAACTACAATGTATTGCTTACTACTATTAATTATAAACCTAACTAAGATGAAAAGAAGAATAAAGAATAGTAGTTCTAAAACTTACGAAACGAAATGTAGTGTAAACCTGTAAGGGTCTTCATTAAATACAAAATAGTATGTCACAAAATAAATTATTGATATCAATTCAAGTTTACATTAGTTTAGTGGAAAAATATTGAAATAAAAGTCAACAAAATCTAATTCACTTGTTTATTTATTTAAATTGTAAGACAACTAAATCCATTGAGTTCTCATTTGCCCCTTTCGAAAGTAGATCACTTAAAAATGTAAAAAACACTTGCCTTGAAAAGACGACATTCTTGATCTGCATGAATTCGGTTTTCTTCGCAATCCTTTGAGCACATCGGCCAGCCACAAGTCTATATGTATTACAAACTGGGGTTGCCGGTGGAATTTTTTAAAAATCGAACGTTAAAGAAAAAATTCGAATTTAAAAAAACATCTAACTTTTTTGGCCTATATGTTACCCCCAGTTACTCTTGGGTTCAATTACAAAATTATACGAGCATGGGTTCAATATACAGGCTACAGCGCAGTAGTAACTAAACAACTAGGGATATATTGTCGTTTTCCTTTTCTCTTTTGATTGGACAAATTATGTAATTTGTAATTGTCACAAGATATAGGGTAGGTTACCCACAAAGGATGAGTCTTATTACTGTCTGTTTCCTTTTATTTATGAATTCTTTGTCAAATCATTATATAAGCCCATACAAGACTATATTCAGAGCAAGAAGACTTAATATCGTTCGAGATTTTAAGTGTACAGAGGCCGAATTTAAAGAATTTGAGCCGCAGTTTAAATTTAAGCCGCGGTTAAATTATGATTGGTTTCACTTAAAATTGTATCAAATGATTTAAGATTTAAGCCGGCGCTCAATTTAAACCGGGTTTTGGCGGATTTAAGCCGCGACTTAAATTCTTTAAATTCTGCCTAAGGTCGTTTTATTGTCTGATTCAAGGTATATATTTTTACAGAAAAAAATCAGTCACAAATTCTAAATTTTAACGATATTAAAAAAAAAAATAATAAAGAAAGAAGATGACAATCATTCTCCGGGTTTCTGGTTACATTTTTTAAATTAAAAATTTATAACTAACCGAGCAGGAATAATCTCCATTCACATTCTTACAGCAGGCCAAACAGACTGGTAAAATACCTTACAAAAAAGATATATTTGTTTTCTTAACATATAAAAAATATAGATATATTCCTAGAGAACGATTTTTGGACCCCCCCCCCCTGACCCATTGTTATCGGTGAATCCTCAAGAACAATCTCTCCTGCCTAAAATATATATTTCGGGTAATTTAAAAACAATATCATTTTAGATTTAGAATAAGGGTGAAACTGTTTCAACGATCATTTCAAATCCTAATTAGAAATTATGAGCAACATTATGAAAGAAAATAAATGATAAAATGTTTTTTTTTTAAATATTTAAAAACATAGATAATTCAGGAGGTCGATTAAAATTGTTGAATTTAAGGCAAACACTATTTTTTTAAATATTCTGGCACATATCTTTTCAATTTATTTCTGGTTTTACGATTGTACCATTTTAATGTTTCTGAATTCACGTGCTAAATTGTTATACTCTGCTAAAATGTTATACTGTGCTAAGATGTTATACTATGCGCGATGGATGTAACTTTTTCATAAAGATAAACTAAATTTTCTTCACATACAATATCATTTGGAACTTTAAAAAATAAAAAATAAATCTAATAATTTTAATTGTATTTGACTGCAATAATGTTCACCTACTAAACGATATCATTTTGCAAAAGACAAGTACTTTTGATATTTCTATACCTAGATATTTTCTTTTTGAATAATATATTTTTATATAAATCAATATCATATCAATTAGATGTACAATATTACCTTTATTTTCCTGGCAGCAATCATGTGTCTAAAATATAAAATCATAGTAAAATCATTTCATAGTAATAAGATTAAGAAACAGTCAAATTAAAAAAAAAAACAATGTTACTTTAGAAGTTGTAATTTCTCCGATTTTTTTATTTATTGATTATATTTTACATTATTTTACATTAAGTTAAGAAAAAGTTTGGTAATCAAAGTCAAAAAAATAAAAAATAAATTAATTTCAAATATAATTAGAATTTTTGTAAATTTTATTTCTAACTTACCTTCCATAAACTTCATCTGTAACTATTTTATAAGGAAGCTCGTCCCCTTTTCTTTTACATTTGTACTCCTTGTTGCTAAGGAGGCTGCCCATCGTATGATCCATTCCCTTAAAGATAAAAAGTAAAATGATTTTTTCAGCAGTAACTGCAGCATGACACAGTGATGACCAGAAAACTCTGGAAAAGAAAGAGGACTTTTGGACTCGAGCTATGAGTTTAGATAGTCCAATGCACATAGGCCACAACAATATTGCATTGTAAACTGACTTATTTAACTTAATAAGTGATTTAATAAGTGTTATAGTAAAATTATTTGCTTTAAACAAGTTCAAATACACTTCATTGTTGCTGTTAAGTCGTCTTCTTATTTCAGAGTTTTCTGATTATCACTGTATTAAGAAGATTTAAACATATTTTTTCTAATAACAGCTATTCCTCGAAAATATTTTTGTCACAGTTTTGGTGTGCCTATTAACCCTATTCCTGCTGGGGCGGGGGGGTCAATTTGAACCCCCCCTGTAGTTTTTTTTACATAACTCAAAAAGTATTGGTCTGAGGCTGTTGACATTTTCTGACTGTTCCTACATACCCAAAGCCTTCCCTTTAGGGCTAAAATCGGGCTAACTGCCTGAGTCCTCAGGCACACTGCCTGAATAACTGCTTTTTCCTGTAACAAACTAAATCTTTGTTTTGACCCACTTCCACTTGTCAGATTTTGATAAAATTTAGCTTTTTGGAAAGCCTTTGACATAAGGAAACGAATTGCACAAGTTTTGCGAGAAAAAATTGCAATTTTTTTGCAAACAACCTGTCAAAGGAAATTTGCACATTTTTAGTTTTTCTTGATTTTGCATATTTTAAATGGCATGGTCAAGGGCTTTTCAAAAATGTATAATTTTTCATTTTTCGGACAAATTTTTTTTTGCAAACATTTTTACTTTATAACTGGATTTTGCGATAAAAAATTCAATTTTTGCAAATTTGCAATTTTTTTTGCAGATTCTTAAAGTAGAGCACACGAGCTTTCCAATGATGTATCATTTGTCATATTTAGACATCAAACATGGGATTTAGAGGGGGGGCTCAAATTGACCCCCCCCCAGCATATTCTGGTTTTCAAGTACCCCAGCAGAGATAGGGTTAAGAGATATAAAAAATGCTTAACAGTTTTGGTGTGCCTATTAAGAGATATAAAAAATGCATAACAGTTTTGGTGTGCCTATTATGATATATGAAAATGCATAACAGTTTTGGTGTGCCTATTATGATATATGAAAGTACATAACAGTTTTGGTGTGCCTATTATGATATATGAAAAATACATAACAGTTTTGGTGTGCCTATTATGATATATGAAAATGCATAACAGTTTTGGTGTGCCTATTATGATATATGAAAAATGCATAACAGTTTTGGTGTGCCTATTATGATATATGAAAATGCATAACAGTTTTGGTGTGCCTATTATGATATATTAAAAATGCATAACAGTTTTGGTGTGCCTATTAAGAAATATGAAAAATGCATAATAGTTTTGGTGTGCCTATTAAGATATATTTTATTTACTAAAAGCTATTTCACGAAAAAATTCTGTCATAGTTTTGGTGTGCCTATCAAAATATATGAAAAATGCATAACAGCTTTGGTTTGCCAATTAAGAGATATGAAAAATGCATAACAGTTATGTTGTGCCTATTATGAGATATGAAAAATGCATAACAGTTTTGGTGTGCCTATTAAGATATATTTTATTTACTAAAAGCTATTTCACGAAAATATTCTGTCATAGTTTTGGTGTGCCTATTAAGAGATATGAAAAATGCATAACAGATTTGGTGTGCCTATCAAGATATATGAAAAATGCATAACAGTTTTGGTGTGCCTATTAAGATATATGAAAAATGCATAACAGTTTTGTTGTGCCTATTAAGATACATGAAAAATGCATAACAGTTTTGGTGTGCCTATTAAGAGATATGAAAAATGCATAACAGTTTTGGTGTGCCTATTAAGATATATGAAAAATTCATAACAGCTTTGGTGTGCCTATTAAGAGATATGAAAAAACATAACAGTTTTAAAAATCTCAAAATCCTAGAATAACCAGAAAGGGACTGTAGACGTAATTTCAAGTGAAGCTCAATTTATAGAGTGTCATATCCGGTTGAGAACGGTACCCTAAAAAGCTTTACATGAGATATCAAACATTTCCATTTCGAAAGTTCATTACTTTCAACTTTAATTTCTCTACAATGTGACTTGTGCATATTTACTTCAGAAACAATGGTGGAGTTTTTCAGAATAGAAGGTTACATAAAAATACTACAACAGTCCCTTTAAACAGACAAATGTCCAGTATTCCTGAAAATCCACATTAGAACTGTGTACGAATTTTATGAATTTAAGACGCGTCTCAAATCACCCAAAAACCGGTTTCAATTAAGCCCCGGCTTCAATCTTGAAAAATTTAAAACAATTTTAAGTGGAACCAACCATATTTGAGCCGTCTTTATATTCGGCTTCAGGATTAGCTACTCACCACTTTCATTATGGCCGGTGTTATTTCTGTTTAGAAAAAATTTCGAAAATTCTCTGAAAATAAGTTTAAAATATTATGTGATCATCGATTTTAGCTTGACAGGTATTTTTTATAAATTGTCATTGATGTTCTTAGACAGGTATTTTTTATAAATAGGAATTTATATTATATATATTTACATATATTATACAGTGTTATCCACAAAAAATAGGACGAGTAGACGGAATTAATTTAGTTTTTTTTAATAGCAGATGTTCACGTTTTCATATTTTGAAAAACCATCGTTTCGTTTTAAAAACGACGACAAAAAACGAAAACGAAACGATCGTTTTTTAAAAGAATATTTTTTAAAACGGTGGTTTTTAAAACGGCGGTTTTCAAAACGATCGTTTTTGAAAACGATCGTTTTGCAAAATGGTCGTTTTATAAAGCTCGCCGTTTCGTTAACGATCGTTAACGAAGAGAGGAGGAGGGAGGAGACTTTTCATTGAGTAGTTTTAAAGAAAATATCAAGAAGTTTTAGCTCCCCTACAACGTTTTACCTTCATATAAGCCGACACTCGAAAAAGTTGCAAAACGATCGTTATTTGTAAACGATTGTTTTTATAAAGTTCAGAGTTTTGTTAACGATCGTTAAAAAGTGACAAGTGCAGAGACTGGCTGTTCCCTCATACATTTATATAATTCTCTACAATTCTTGAGGGAAGTAATGTTTTGAACGACTATTTTCAGAATATATATTTACCGTTGGAAACGTAATATTTAAAGTGTATCTGGTCGTCGCTACAGTCTTATCCTTTGTGGGTAACCCTGTAGCCGATTTGTCTGTATGAACGAGGGGGTCTGCAATAGTTGTCTTGGTTTTAATGTTAATAATTATTTCCAACTGATATGGGCCCTAATAGGCAATTTCTAGTATACTATACAACACTACTATATATACTGGAATATTCACTATATAATAGTCGTACTATAACTATACACATTACACATCTGGCGATTTCTTAAGCTTTCTCAAGCTATAAGATTGGGGAATACAGGGGGAAATCTAGCTAGGCATACATAGTTTAAACTCTCCAAATTTTTATCTTTTCAGTTTTAAAAGATTAAAACTCTCCGAAGAGTTACTCATATTTATTTTATCATTTAATATTTGTACGAAAAAAGATGAAGGCTTTGTTCAAGACGACATTTATAATGGGTGCCTGAAAGTAAGAATTGTTTCGAATACAAATAGATTTAAACTCGGATATGAATATTCGCGGGGCATTTTTTGTAGAATAGATAATAGATATATTATAAAATAAATATATTATAAAAAGGGACAACGTGAAATAATTGCATCTTTGTTTCCTTCAGTTATTCCCAACTAAAACTGTAATTATTTTGTTGTAAATTTTGAAAGCAAAATCTCTGAATTTTTGCATAGATACTGTGAGGACCAAAAATGTGGAGTATGAAGATGACATTTTAATTAATATATAGTGTATTTTATAAAAAAGAAAATGGTTTTACAATAAGCTGCTCCAATTACTTATTAACTAAAATGGGTCTCTTTACACTGCACAACTGCTGTTAAATAGAATATTAAAAGTCATAACTTGAGTCTAAAAGTCGTCTTTCTATTCCTTAATTTTATGGTTATCACTGTGTATCAAGGGAACATTAGAAATAATGTCTATGCAACAAACCGTAAACTTTAGGAATACCATTAAAAGACTGAAGTCAGAAAGTGTTTTTTAATGATTGTTTTGATTTCCAAAGTATTATCTTTTAAGATACAAAATTGCATCCCTCAATTTTTAAAAAGCTTTAAAATGCAGTCATTCTGATACATTTCAACTTTCAAAGATTAAATATACCATTTATTTGGAATTAAATTGTTTGAATATAATATATATATAAGAACCAGAAACATCTGGAATAGAAAAAACGACTTTTAGACTCAAGTTATGACTTTAAATAGTTTAAAGAACTTAAAACACAGCAATTGTTTAGTGTAAATAGACCAGTTCACTTAATAAGTGTTTTAATAAGTTACTACAGTCAGAACCAGAAATAATAGGAAGACGAATTTCAGACTTAAGTTATGACTTTAAATAGACCAATGAGCATGGGACACAGAAAGTGCACAGTGAAAACAGACCCAGTTCACGTAATTAGTGATTTAATAAGTGTCTAGTAAAACTGTTTGCTTTGTAACAACCTAAAATACACATAAGTATTGCTATAAAGTCGTCTTCCTATTTTAGAGTTTTCTGGTTATCACTGTAGTAAAACTATTTGCTCTGTATAACAACATCAAATACACTTGATTTTTGCTATAATGTCGTCTTTCTATTCAACAGGNAGATGTTTAACTCTCAAGAATTTCAGACGCTAATGATGGTTATGAACTGTTTAAATATGTTCCAAGTTATGATAAATGAATACTAAATACATAAATAATTAAATAAATTTTCTCCATAATTTTTTTAATTTGCATACAAAATATATTTTAGAATTGGTGAAAAAGTTGTTG